GTTGGGTGCTGCCAGGGGAGGGCAACCAGCTATAATTAAAGCAGCAATAGTGCTGTGCCCAAGGCAGAGGGTGGCACCGTGGGGGTTCCGTGTCCTGGCTGCCCCTGCCTGAACAACACTGAAACCCACAGAGAGCCCCCTGTTCCCCTGCACTGGCAGAAATTAGGGCTAAACTCAGTAGCATTGTGCATGGCATGGTTTAAGTGGCTCTGCTTGAGGGACTGTTGGTGCTGCATCTGTCCCACTGCCTGTGGCTGCAACTCGCTAGTGCAGCAGGTCGTCATGGCAACTGATGGTTCCTATGACTGTACACCTGTGTTCACCTCCTGGGCCCAGCCTGGCCTTGGAAATTCCCGTTAGAAAGCTTACCTGTGGAACTGCACGAGCACCAGGGAGCGGCAACAGCACCGGGAGCTCCAGGGTGCAGGCAGAGTCAGCGGCTGGTGTGTGCCCCAGGCACCCCTGTGCAGCTGCACTCAAGGTGGTGCTGGCACCCGGTGACACCAGCGCTGCCACCTGCATGTCATGCGGCCCTCGCAGTGCAGGCAGAGCAGCCACCCTGTGCCTGGAGCTGATGAGCCACAGGGGCGCTGGCCGGGGCGCAAGGCTCCTCCAAACTCAGCACCTCGTACCCCATTGCAGCAGCAGCAAAACCATCCACTGTGCCTCTATGGACTGGACTTCACACATCTGCACTGCTACACCCATCTACACTGAACTAGCGCTGCCTCTCCCTCTCTGGCCACCGTTGCACATGGTCCTTTGGTAGGTCAGTGAATCGCTCCCCAGCTCCCCCTTGCTACAGGGTGCCCCTCAGATAGAGCAGGTTTCCTGTGCCCCAGGAACCGGCTAGAAGTTACTGCCTGCCAAGACAGGCAACGGATACCTCCTGCCAACATCAGCCCATCCACTGTGCACCCTTCTCCTAGAACCCCTGGGTGCAGTTTCCTTGGCAGGATTTCCCTTTTCAAAAGCACTCGCCCTCTCCCCAGCAGGTCAGTGTCACATGTGTACCTGCAGGTTTGGGTTTCTGTGGACCCCCCAGCTGCAGCGGGGCTGGCAGCCAGGCTCACCCCCATCCTCAGAGCTCCTCCTCACCCGTGGGTGCTGTGCTTCCTCCAGGAAGCTTCTGGGGCACACTCAGCCTCCACACAGAGACTGAGAGTAGAGAGGCTGCACTGTGCAGCAACAGCACCCAGGCTACTGCCATCACTGAGCCAAATTCATTCATGTTTACCATAACACGCACAGGCAGAGAGTTTGTTTTGGGTTTGGGTTTTTTCTGGTGCTTTAAGAGGGGAAAAAACATTTCTCCCTCTCTCTCTAAACACTGTAGATCTATGCTGGGAAGCCGCATGGACGGGGAAGGGCATGGAGAAATGGAAATTGCATTTCTGACAACTTGTTTCTGTTATTTTTACCTTTCGGGACAGGGAGAAGCACGGCGCAGCGGCCTGGGTCCATGTGATCAATAGCTCCCCTGAGAGCTAGGCGCAGCGTGCCCTGGGGCCGGCCCCGGGCCACAGCACACACAGGGCAGCACAGGGGCGCGCAGCACAGAGAGGGGTATGCAAGGGCAGCGTGAGCCTCGTGTGAGGCCCAGCCGTGGCCAAGGAGGCACCCTCACCCGCAGGGGTTCCCTGGTGCATGAGGTCACAAGGCTGTGATTCTGGGCATTGTCTCCAGACCACACCCAGGCCGGGATGCAGGCAGGGTGGTGCCTGGCCCTGCGGGCACAGAGCGCGGCAGCATGGAACGGGAGGGCTGCGGTGAGGACACGGGGGTTATAAAAATTTAGCATAGCCAGGGGTTTTGGTCCAAATTTAATTTATTTACAATTTATTGAGAGGCAATAAGCAAGCAGCGCTGGGTGCGCAGGGAAGCCTTCACTCCACCAGGAACGCACGCCGTCTCTTTTGGGTTTTACTCTTTTATACATTATCACATCTGGTATCTGTGCTCTTTACATCCTGCATACGTATCCTGTTAGGGGATTGTCTGAGTCTATGGTATCCTGTTGTTAGGGTCCTTGTTCTGTTTTCTTGCTTATTCTGCTTTCTTGAAGATTGCTGAATCGTGAGTTCTTCATTCTTCTTCCTTATCTCGTGACCTTTGAGTGACAAATCATCCCTTTGCAAAGAGCTCAATTTGTATAAGCATTGTTGGCACTACCGGACATCTGTTATTTGCTTAAGACTTAGTTCCTATATGTTGTGATTACAATCTTGCATAAGCATATATTGGGCGGTTACAGCTGTTTCCCTTTAGGCAATATTCTAAAGTTTACAAAGTGTTCAGAATTTTACAATATAATTCTTACGGCCCTTAACTAATGTAAAAAAATGATTATTACATTATTTCTTCTTTCTTCTTATACCAAGTGCAATGGGTACAAGGGTTTCTGAGCTGCTGGCACGAATCATAATTGTATCCCTTACACGGGCAGCGGTGGGGCCGTGCTGCCATGGAGGGGGCGCTGGGCCCCTGCGCAGCTCTGCTCTGCCACTGCAGGAGCCCCAGCCTTGGCGTCTCCCGACAACACCGGGTGCTCTGGCGGTGGGAGGTTGAAGAGCCAATGCCACAGGGTGGTGGGGCTGCCCCAGACAAGCTGGGCAACACATCATAGAATCTCCCTGGGACCCAGGGTTGTTGGAGCAGCAGGAAGGGCCTGAACCATGTTGTGTCCTTCCCGCAGTGAGAGAGGGGCCAAAAGGGGGCACATCCAAGGAGGTTCCTGCACCTCTGGGCCAGCCTGAGAGTGCCTGTGGAAGGCTGCCGACACCGGAGAGGGCAACATCAGACCCGAGCAGCTCCATCCACCAGCTTCAGCAGGAGACCCAGGTGAGCGGTGCCAACCCCACTCCCACTCCAGGTGCTGGTTGTGGATGCCCAGGCTGGTGGCCGGTGGTACAGGAGGCCCTGGCCAGCCCTCACGCCTGCCAGCAGACAGCTCCTCCCCAGGGCTCGGGGCTGTCCACTCCTGCTGCAATTGCACTGGTCCCACTGCCACGATTTCCCACAGCAGCCATAGCTCCTGCTGGCATCACTGCAGTGCCAGCAGGGTCAGGGGTTGGCGTCATGAGCCCTGGAGGACTTTAGAACACACACAGGGTGGTACTGCCTGGTGGGGGGGGGTCTGCACCCACCAGTTACCAACATACCCCAGTGCTGCTCTGTGGGCTGCCAGCAGCCTCATCCAGCCCCCGTGCGTGGCAGGAGCTGGAGGAGGGTCTGGCTGCAGCAGTGAGCGAGAGCAGTGCTGCTTGTGCTGTGTCCTAGGGCCGAAGGCAAGCGGTGGTGCCAGAGGCACAGCAAGGGCAGCCCCAGGCGTGCCGGGACACACTGGAGCTGGAGCCAGCGTCCATACAGGCACTGCAGCTGGACCTAGACTTCTGCAGAGACATTAATCATGAGCTGCTGGTGCAGCTGCGGCACCAGGAGAGGAGAGCGGAGCGGCAGCGGCAGGAGTTGGTCTTTCTGAGGCAGCAGTTCCAGGTGGTGATGGGCAAGGTACGGCTGAAGGGTGGCACAGGCCAGGCTGAAGGAGTCCCCAACCCTTGGCCATGTGCTTACATCTTGGGCAAGGCACCATGCCTGCCCAGCAGCCTGCATGTGGGTACTGCTGGTGATCAGTGCTCAGGGACAGGCAGGATATATCCTGCCAGCCACATGTGGGATGAGTTAGCACCTCACCCTGTATGCATGGGTAGACATGGGGCAGGCATGGCTGGCATGGCCCAGTAAACCCAGCTGAGCAGAGCTGAAAGACTGCAGCTCCTAAGGGCCCCACTGACACTCTGGGCACCATCCCAGTGCTGGGCAGCCCCAGGTCAGTGATGCACCTCTCCCCAGGAACGGAAGGATGAGGCAGTGCAGACAGAGGTCACCTTTGATGTGGCTGCCCCTGGCCATGCGGACACCAGCTACAACATCCTGGAGAAGCACACACTGGTGCTGGAACAGGTCAGTGCTGGCAGACAGGGCCAGACAGGGCCAGCACACAGCATACAGCAGTGCTGCTCACATAGGCAATGGTAGATGCAGAGATGAGGTGCTGCAGGCAGAAGAGAGCAGCCAAGAAGTGCTGGTACCGACGCAGAACACAGCTGGGGAGGGCAGCTGAGTCAGGCAGTGCTGAGGAAGGTGGGGTGAGCAAGCAGGGGGCATCCAAGGCCTCTGGGCTGGAACATGTGAAGGCTGGAGCCTGCAGCCAGCACCCTGAGCTGCCACAGTCTTGGTGGCCCCAGCCAGAGCTGCAGCCCAGTGCTGCCCCAGTGGCAGAGAGCAGCAGCAAGGAGACATCTGGCACCCATAAAGGCCATTGTACGTGTGGCTGGAGGATGAGGCGCAAAAGGACCCCAGGAGGCAGCAGGCAGTGCCTGCCATCAGTTACTGCATGTTCACACACTGCAACACTCTGTCCATCCTGGTGTAACAATGGGGAATGGCAAGACCGTGCGGTCACCAGAAGCTCCCTGTGCTTTTGGGTCATCCCCAGTTGCAGAGTTAAGGGGCAGACAGGGTTTGCCTGTGCAGTCCTGGGAAGGAGGATGGGCAGGCCCTGAGCCTGGGGGGAAGCAGCCAGGGGGGCACAGGAGCCACGAACGCCTCAGAACCACAGTGTCTCATCCCTGGGACAGGGGGAGGCAGTGCCAGGCACGCTGTCTCAAGCAGCTGAATTAGGCACTGCCAGCCTGGACTCCCCGCAGCGCACAGGGGAGCAGCCGTGCCTGGGGAAGGACCCACAGCAGGATGAAGGCTGCAAGGTTTCAGCTGTTCTGCGAGCACTGCAGGAGGAAGCAGGCAGGAGCAGAGCAGAGCAGGCTCAGAGCAGGTGAGCCACACACAGCCGGAGCCCAGCAGGGCTCTCCCTGTGCCTGCTCCATCACGAGCAGGCAGCCGGGCACCGCAGCAGCTCAGGCTGTGACCGTGCCCACAGGGAGCTGACAGAGCAGCTCAAGGCAGAGCTGAGCCAGTGGCAGCAGAAGCATCAGGTGGCCATGGAGCAGGCACTGCAACACATGCACGCTGCGGCCCATGCTGAAGAAGAGCTGCAGAGGAGCCAGAAACAGCTCCAAACCCTGAGGGAGCAGGTAGGTAGCAGGCAGGACCTGCTGTGGGGTCCCTCCATCAGCCTGGCTCCAGTCTCCTCTGCCCCTGTGGGTAACCTAGGGCCCGCCAAGTAGGCTGCCACGCCGTGAGAGCTGCAAGGGGAGCTGACAGCTGTGCTGTCAGTAGGATGGGAAAGAAAAGCTGTAGCAAGAGCTGCTGCAGGCAAAGGAGTGAACGAGCACCCTCAAGAGAGTTAATAAAGCCCTGCACCAAAGCCTATGCTGCAGGAGTTGACAGCGAGCTGGGATCAGCAGCAGGAGAGAGGGCACAGACCTCACTCGAGCACAGCAATGCTGCATTCCCTGATGCGTTGCCTTCTCTCAGCTGAGGACACAGGAGGAGCAGAGCCAGGACCTGCAGCATCACCTGGCTCAGCTGCAGGAAGAGCTGAGAGCCACCCAGGCCCTGCATCAGCAAAATCTGCAGCAGCTGAGTGAAGCCAAGGAGACCATCCAGGTCCTGCACCAAGAAGTGGCCTCCAACAAAAAGCACATGGCAGAGCTGCTGCAGCAGGTGACGGCAGGGACAGGGCAGTGGTAGGGCAGCCGTTGGTGCAGGGCTCACTCTGGCCCTGGGCAGCACTGGCCCTGGGTAGCCCAGCCTGCCATGGCCTGGCCAGCACCCTCTCTTTCCCCTGACTCTGCACACAGGTGAGGGAGACGACCACCCTGCAGGCAGAGCTGGCCCAGGCCCAGCAAGAGGAAGCCAAGCAAGAGGAGAAGATTGCGGCCTATGTGAAGCAGAAGCAGCAGCTCCACTGGGAGCTGAGGAAGCTGCAGCGGTCCCAGGAGCAGTGTCAGAAAGAGGTAAACATGTCCTGGGCCTTCCCACAGGGCACCAGGAGTCTATGCTCAGCCTGTGCCCCTCTCACTGCTTCTCTGTGCCACCAACAGGCCCATTCCCTCCAGGAGACAGTACGTGAGCTGAGGAGCCACGTCCGGTACTGGCAAGAGCGATACAAGAACAGTGCCCAAGCTCTGGATACGCGAGAAGGAGAACTGGTTGTTTGCAAGGTGGAGCTGGCTTTCCTCAAGGAACAGCTCAGCAAGGCCATGGAGCAGGTACAGGTTAGAAAGAGGTTAGAAAGAGCTGACCCTTAATAACCTAAGGTTAGGCCTTGCAGCCTGGGTAACTTGAGTACAAGCCTCAGAGTTCGGCTAAGACCAGACGGCTGGGATTGCTTCTCATGTCCCTCGTTCAGCTGTATTCTTCACAACCGCCATCTCCTAGGGCTGAAACGTCTGGGTTGGTCACAAAGTGTCCGCCGTCTCTCAGCCAATCCACAGAGGCAGCACCACAGCCCAAGAGCAGGAGCACAGGATGGGCCCCTAGTACCAGGGAATGACAAACAGATCCTGGTCCACAGGCAGCGGAGAGGTGGAAAGGGAAGGACAGGGGACAGCATTCTGCAGCTCCCAGGCTGCCCAGGGAGGAAGCCGAGGGTCTGAAAGCAGCAAAGCTCACCACCTTCTCCTTATAGTAGCCCTCCTCACTCAGCTGCTGGAAGGAAGCACCTCAGCATTGAGTCTCCATGTTAGAAGAGCAGTTCAGGGCAGTAGTTCTGAGGTTAACAGTGGTGCTCCAAAGCAAGGTCTCCTGAGGCACCACCCTCTCAACCCTCTGCTCAGCCCAGGCCACTGGTCCAGCACAGCCTGGGTTCTCCAACTGCCTTCAGCCCTTAGCTCATGGAGGCTGGGAAGTGCAGTCGCAGCCACTGCGACTACACATGGCACTGTGGTCACTCTTGCCAGGTGAAAACCCTGCGCTCTGCCCGAGCTCCGGCATGCTCCAACGGTGGCAGACTGCACAAGGAAACGGAGCTGTTGCTGGTCAACATCAGCCAGTGTGTGAAGGAGCCAACGTGAGTGAGAAGCCTTGACCAAAGCACAGGGGCAGGTGGCTGCCGCCTTCTCACACCGAGTCACCCAGCTCGTACCTTGTTTTCAGGCATTCAAATGAGAAACCAGGGAACAAGATCCAGACTGCAGAGCTGCCCAGGTGGAAAGAAGTAAGTTCTGAACACAGGAGTGAAGCTGAGCTGTCCCAAACAGCAGTTACTGCTGCTGGCAGGAATATATGGGACAGATGGACAACTGCTGGACTAGCCAAGCTCCTGAAATGCCGGCAGATCAGGGTTGTCATCATTGACACCGCCCATTTCCTCTCCCTTTCCTCCAGGCATGTTCAAGACACACTGCAGGAAGAAGACACATAGCTCGTGGCTGGAACAGATGAGCAGCAGCACCAGTGAGCAGCTGAAGGTGACAATCTGGCACAGCCTGGCTTGAAACAGGGCTGGCCCTGTGGGCAGTTGAGCAGAGGCTGTGGGAGAACTGCCTTTGCCCTCTAGGTCAGTGTAACGCTGTGCCTTGTCCCGTGTCTTACAGGGCAACAACTTCACATTACCAGCCCCACACAATTCTGCAGGACTGTCTCCACCCCCCTCTTGCCCAAGGGACAGGAACAGCGCAAAACAAAGCAAGGATTAGACAACTTTTAAACAAAATAAAGTCTTTTCTGTTCTGTAGCAAAATCAGTGCCAAGCACCATATCTTTTCTGGGCCACAAGCTGTAGAGTGCCTCAGAGAGTACAGTGATCAGAGAGGCTGGCCACACTCCTAAGACTCAGCTCCTCCTGAAAGTCTTTAAGCTTCAAAGCAACGGGCACCGCTGCCTTAGAGGCCAAAGCGTGCTGGAGTGTGTCCTGGTGTCAGGGGCTCGCCCCGCTCCTTCCGCCCAGGGGTGTAGATTTTAGTAGCTCTGCCAGGAGAGAACAAGGGTGATTAGTGGAATACGTAACCTTTCCCTGCACCACAGCACCCATGAGAAAGTTGGCGTGCTCCATGCAGCTCACTACTCCTGCTCCTCAGCAGGCATTCCACGGCCAGGCAGGGCCAGCACCTACCTGGCACTGCCCAGAGGGCTGCGGCGCTCCTGCTCCTCCCGGCGGGCACGCAGCTGCTCCTCGGCCAGCGCCATCTCCTCCATGGCAGACACTTCCTCCTTGGCACGGCGGCGGTTCTCCTGGAGCAGGGCAGGGGAGGTCAGGGAAAGGCAGAGCTGGCCAGCAGCAGACTCTCTGCAGGCCCACAGGCCTGCTCCCTCCGTGTCAAAGAGCACACACCCTGCTGTAGAGCAGCTATGCAGTGGGCCTGCTGTCTGCCAGCTCATCCTGCACAGGAAACTCACCTGACGTGACTTGCCAGCATGCTTGATACTGTAGAACATGGGGCCCAGCTCTGCCAGCCACTCTCCATCCACAGCAGTGACACACTGCGTGTATTCCTGCAGGGACAGAGGAAAGGCCAGAGTAGCAGGATGGCACTTGTGCAGCCTGGGCACCATTTCCAGAGCCGTGGCAGCTCCCCCCCCCCCTCCCACTTGCTGATGGCACTTCTCATGCTGGGGCTACACCCCTTCCAGATCATTCCTGCCAGCCTCAGAAGCTGCTATGGGCTGGACTTGGTGAGACTGCAAAGAAGTTCAAACATGTCCCACATAGGTGTCCTGGGTTTAGCAGTAGCAGTCATTTTTCTCCTTCTTGGTAGCTGGTGCAGTGCTGTGTTTTGACTTTCAGCTGGGAACAGAGCTGATAAAAATGATGTTTTGGTTTGGCCAAGGACTTTGTGAGCCTCATGCTGTGCCAGGGAGGAGGGGAAGCCGGGAGGAAGCAGAGGCAGGACACCTGACCCAAACTGACCAAAGAGGTATTCCATACCACGGCACATCATGCCCAGGATGTAACTGGAGTTACCCGGAAGGGCAGGTGGACTGCAGGGTTGGAGAAGGTATCAGTCGGCGCTTGGTTGGGCTGGGGGGTGGCAAGTTATCAGTCGCCTGGTGATGGGGTGTTGTATTCTCTTTCCTTGTTATTTCCTTTAGCATTACTATTATTGGTGGTAGCAGTAGTGATTTGTGTTATACCTTAGTTACTAAACTGTTCTTATCTCAACCCGTGGGAGTTGCATTCTTTCAGATTCTCTTCTCCATCCCTTCAGGTGTAGGGGGAGGGCAAGAAGGGGAGGGGGAGTGAGTGAAAGCTGTCTGGTTGGGGTTAAACCACGACAATAGGTCAGGAAGAAATACTGGGAAAAGAACAAACTGGACTCCGCAGATGACATAGACATGCCTAGTTGGTATAGATGAGTAATGCTGATAACTGCCCCTCCAACAACTCCTAGTATCACAGGAAAGCCCTCCCACCTCCCCCATCATGAGAGTACTCATCAGCCTTTTGGCTAGCCCTCAGCTCAAGCTCACCTTGGTGGTCATGACCAACGCATGATACACAGTGTAGTCTGGTGTGTAGCCCATGCCAAACAGAGAGCTCGTAGCGTGCGGCTGGCAAGGCATGCCTGTACGGATGTTCACATACTCCCCAGTGCCCTGCAAAGAGGAGTACTGTCAGTGCACCAGCTCCCAGACAGGGCTTTTCAGCCTCAGACGAGCAGACACACCTCTCACCTTAAGCGTTGCAGCTTGATGGAAATACGCAGCACAGATGCACTTCCTGACAATATCCCAGTCAGTACCACAGGATGCCAGGCTCATTGATGCTGCACCATGGTGTCCTTGAGCTGGGCACGCACCTCCCGCACCTGCAGGGGCATGTGGCAGTCAGACCCCTCTCCTGTGTAATGCTCCCACCCACAGCCTCATTGCCACAGCCTCACCTCCACATGGCCTTGGCATAGATGAAGTGCTGGTTGCACCACAATGTGGAATAGCAGTTGTTCTTCCACTGCAGGTGAACATTCATGTAAGTCAAGTGATCACTCTCCGGAACAGCAAATTTCTCCCACACTTGGTCACTCTCCTCCTCTCGGCCCTGAAGGGTGAGAAAAGAACACAGGTTAGTCAAATTATCAGCGGAAAGCCCCAGACTGCTGAAAGAGCAAACATGTATCTTAGGCCGATAAAAGATGGCAGGTACAGACAACATGGAGATAACAAGCAAGATCTCAGAGCTGCAACCCATGTCACAGGAGACAATGAGCATTTTGGAGAGCGCAGGATCCAGTGGAAACTCCACCATGAGACGTCCTGTTGAGGTCAGACCACCTATAGGAACAGCACAGGGGTCAGCAGCTGGGCAGGTCCCAGTCCCGCGGGCTGACAGCTTGTCCCAGCAGCCAAAATACCAGTGTTATCCAGGGCTCCCAGGATCCATAGCTGATACATGGAGTTAAGCATGTTGTCCTCAGGGGGCGGATCCATGAAGTGGAACTGCAGCAGGACTTGAACACCCAGGGACTTGAGCAAAAGCACCACATTGGCAAGGTTGGTGCGCTGGATCTCAGGCACTGTGGTTGTTAGCAGCTCATTCTTGTAGGCACTTTGGGTGTACAGCCTGGAGAACAGATGCCAAGAGCATGCTGCTCACATTCGGGCCATGGTGTCCACTATTGACTCACCCACCGCTGCCCACCCCAGCCAGCAGGACATCAGAGAGGAACCTCTACCCTGGCCAACATGTGGCCTCCCCGGCGCCTAAGGGTATCTGTGCTGCAGCACAGTGCACACCCCTCACAAGCACTGTAATTCCCTGGGCACAGACCAGCCTCAAAGCAATGCACTGAGAAAGCTGCTTGGCTTGGCTGTTATCCTCACAGGATCAAGGGCAGAACAGCCACAAGTGAAGACAGGCAAGGAAAGAAACCAGAGCATGGCGTTTCCTCTGCAGAGTCACTGGGTCCAAAAGAGAAGGGCTCAAGACCTGCTTACTGCTCTCGTACCCCCAAAAGTTCAAGACAGCAAACAGCTCCAGTGAGAAAAAAGTATGTATAACCTGATGCCAAGCTGCAGGTAGGACAGGAACAGGAACACCATTACATGCCTGCCTGAAGCAGTGGCCTGGGCCCGTTCAGCCAGCTTGGCCTGCCCTCTGGTTGGCATTTGCTTGACTGATGGGGTAGGTCTGCAGTGCATCCATGCCTATACGGGGGTTGAAAACCTGCAGGACGTAAGCAGAACAGACTGAAGAAAGAGAAAGGCTGGGTCACCACCCAGTCACAGAACCCCCTCAAACCAAACCCAGAAATGACAGACATAAATAGTACAGGAAATCGTGCCTTACCTTCAACTTGCAATAGCCAGAGTCAATCACAAACATGATGCCGTCCACTGTTGGTGAGGTCTCTGCAATGTTGGTGGCAACAATGCACTTCCTGACCCCATCTGGAGCCTGCAAGCATACTGCACGTCAGTCACAACCTGAGGCAAGGGTCTTTGCCTTCCAGGGAGCATGCAGGGCAGTAATACAGAGCCCAGAAGGACAGGGGTGATTCTTGGAAAGTTGAGGGTGTTACATCCTTTCTCTCACTCTCCACATGCAATACAAAAGGCATGCCTGCACCTCTCACTACCTCAGTAGTCTTCCCTGTACTAGTTTCTCCTGTCCCCACCCCTACCACAGAGCACACATCAGCATCTTCTGGAAAATCTTGGCCTGCAAGTCCGATGGTATCTGCGAATAAATAGGCAGAACAGCAAGCGCAGGTGCCTTCTCCAGCTCTTCAAGATGCTCTATGATTTGCTCTGAGGTCACGTAGGCAAAAGAGGGGTGTAACCATAAGATGGGGTGTAACCATAAACAACAAGGGGGTAGGATAGTGCCTACCCTTCCAGCTCACCTCTGTGTCCTCCTGGCCAGGCATGAAGATGAGGATATCTCCAGGAGCACCAGAGAAATGGACCTGCAGGGCTTGTTTCACTGCAGCCTCCACATAATCCTCTTGTGGGGTCTGAAAGGCACACCCAGATTTCAGACATCAATAGCTGACCTGTCCAACCCTTTGTGCAAGACTGCATCACAGCACAGCTTCTCTTCTTCTATCCTTTTGACCACCACAGAGTGCTGTACACCCAAGAACCAACCCCCTTCTGTCACAACAGAACTCCCTCTGCAACATTGACCGTACCTTGCTGAAAAGAATATCAACAGGGAAGGTGTGCCCAGGAATGTGGAAAATGGTAACGTTTCCAAAGAAGGAGGCAAACTTATCCGCATCCATGGTGGCTGAGGTGACAACAAGCTTCAGATCTGAATGTCAGGCCACCACCTAGAAAGCAGATGAAAGGAACAGTAAGAAAAGGGCCCTTGGGCATGGCTGCAGGATGCTTCTATTGTTACTGAGACAACAGCACAGGACAGAGCTTCTGCTGTACTCTAGAGTCACTGGCTGTTAATGCCAGGGAACACAGATGCAGTTAAGCAGGGCAGAGATTAGAGAGGAAATAACTTTTCCCAATTGCACAGCCCATTCTTGTCATCCTGTCAATCTAACTATCTGGAATCCAGGACAATGGAGACAAGAGGAGGTAAAAACTGGACAAGAAGTTTATGGAACTGGAGAAGATCCAAGGGTGATTTTACAAGTAATAATTAAAGAAAAATCTAGAGAGTCAGCACAACACCACTTATTATTCAGTTCCTTCCAACTCAGCAAAATATACATGGAAAAAGGAAAATCAAGGAATAACGTTGACTCAGGTCACTGGAAAGAGCAGATGTGTAGGAAAAATTCCAAAACATCAGGAACATCTATGTGAAGTTAATACAATTGCTGCTAAACAGAAAAAAACAGTTAAGTGGTTATGACCAGCCAAAAACACCAAGTGGGTTTGCTCAAACGTAGGTGTGACACCTTGCCTGTCACTAGAATTATTTAATGATTCCTCAGATTTTTGTATCCAGGTAATGATAATACCAAGAATTCTTTACCATCCTGAAAATTATATGTATGACCACCATACTGCCCAGGACCATCACCTAATTAAACAAGAACCTTTCACTGCATTAATGATAGCCACTTTGATGATCTTGGGAGGTACAGGAGTAGGTACAGGAGTAACCTCATTAATAAAACAAAGTAAAGAATTTCACACCAAGAGAATGGCTGTAGATAAGGATTCAGTCAGAATCAATCAATCCATAAGTACCCTAGAGAAATCTGTGCAGTCGTTATCTGAAGTAGTGTTACAGAATCGAAGAGGATTAGACCTAATACTCCTACAACAAGGAGGGCTTTGTGCCGCACTTAAGGAAGAATGTTGTGTGTATGCTGACCACACGGGAATTGTAAGGGATACCATGACCAAGTTACCAGAAGGACTAAAAAAGAGAAAAAAGGAGCGAGAAGCCCAACAAAGTTGGTATGAGTCATGGTTTAATTACTCTCCATGGTTGACTACATTACTATCTACCATAGAATCATAGAATCATAGAATAGTTAGGGTTGGAAAGGACCCCAAGATCATAGAATCATAGAATAGTTAGGGTTGGAAAGGACCTTAAGATCATCAAGTTCCAACCCCCCTGCCATGGGCAGGGACACTTCACACCATATCACCCAAGGCCTTGTCCAACCTGGCCTTGAACACTGCCAGGGATGGAGCATTCACAACCTCCCTGGACAACCTATTCTAGTGCCTCACCACCCTAACAGGAAAGAATTTCCTCCTTATAGCCAATCTAAACTTCCCCTGTTTAAGTTTTAACCCATTACCCCTTGTCCTATCACTACAGTCCCTAATGAAGAGTCCCTCCCCAGCATCCCTATAGGCCCCCTTCAGATACTGGAAGGCTGCTATGAGGTCTCCACGCAGCCTTCTCTTCTCCAGGCTGAACAGCCCCAACTTTCTCAGCCGATCTTCATACGGGAGGTGCTCCAGTCCCCTGATCATTCTCGTGGCCCTCCTCTGGACTTGTTCCAGCAGATCCATGTCCTTTTTATGTTGAGGACACCAGAACTGCACACAGTACTCCAGGTGAGGTCTCACGAGAGCAGAATAAAGGGGCGGGATCACCTCCTTTGACCTGCTGGTCACGCTCCTTTTGATGCAGCCCAGGATACGGTTGGCTTTCTGGGCTGCAAGCTCACACTGAAGCCGGCTCATGTTCGTTTTCTCATCGACCAGCACCCCCAAATCCTTCTCTGCAGGGCTGCTCTGAATCTCTTCTCTACCCAGCCTGTAGCTGTGCCTGGGATTGCTCCCACCCAGGCACAGGACCTTGCACTTGGCATAGTTAAACTTCATGAGGTTGGCATCAGCCCACCTCACAAGAGTGTCAAGGTCCCTCTGGATGGCATTCCTTCCCTCCAGCGTATCAACCGAACCCCACAGCTTGGTGTCATCGGCAAACTTGCTGAGGGCGCACTCAATCCCACTGTCCATGTCAGCGATGAAGATGTTGAACAAGACTGGTCCCAACACCAATCCCTGAGGGACACGACTTGTTACTGGTCTCCAGCCGGACATTGAGCCATTGACCACAATTCTTTGTGTGCGGCCATCCAGCCTGAACCATTCTGCTTGCTCTGAACCATGTCAAAGTCCAAGCAGAAAACTTCTTTCATCCATATTGTTCCTTAGATTCGTGCACTGCATATCCCCACAGCGTGTCATTGTCCAAAAAGGCCAGGTGGATCAGAACTGTGCTGAGATCTTTATTGCCTTATTTAGGCTTCTTAGGAAGAGCATAGTTTCATGCTCTCAGATGTGTTGCCATAATTTTGGATATATCAGTATTAAAGGTACATTTTTCCAGTTATTATGCCAGGAGATGATTAAAAATAGGGTGTTTTTTTGTTGTTTTCTTTGATCTTTGTGAGAAGACAGTAGTGGATCCTTACCTACATTTAGCAGTACAGAGGTGTGACAGCTAACTCCTGGACTTTTGATGTTTTGTAGTCACACTGTTGCTTTTGTTCCCCATTGGCCTGATGTACTTTCAGGATTGCATGTGCTGGTTAATTATTCATACTTCTTTGAGGGACTTAACTTTGCATTTCTTACTCAGCAGTTACTTTTTATCCTTAAACTGTTTTGGCAGGATTTTAGTTTTGCATAGATTTCTGTAATTTCTATGCAGCAGAGATGTAGTGGAGACAAATACTTTTGTTGTAAGAAAAAGTTTTAATCTTAAATTTTGAACTAAATGTGGTGTATTCTACAGTTAATACACAGTGCCAGTGTGACTCTGCCTTGAAAGTAAGTCTCTACTTAGACTTCACTTGTTTAAAATATGAGTAGTTTTGTTCATTCTCTTTTGAGACAGAACTGATACTGCTTTGTACCAGGGAGATCCAATAAAGCCATCTTATATTAAACTACTCTTGTGTTTAGAAAAATGGGTAGAATTAGATGGCATTTTTCAGTGGCATTCTTTTGTTTCGTAATCTGTAATTCCTGTATTGTGTAGGAAGTCAAACTGTCTGAGATACTGTCAGCTTCCAGTGTCTGGAAGAAGCAACATGATAGAGTGGTTGAAGGAAATACAAGGTTAGAAATTCAAACAGAAGATCTTAAGAAGTAAGTTAAACTGTTGATCTGTTCTTTTGTTTCTGTAGTCACACTGTTGATATTTAGTAGTGCAGCACTCAGTGTTGACAGTGTAAACATGCTTCTGTAGTCACATTCCTAAATTCTGAGCAGAATTTAGAAGTTGCAAACTGCAACAAATTCAAGATTTTTGGCCTCCTCTGCTGTATTTCACAACTTGGTTTTAAAACATTTTATGATAAGAACACTGAAGGAGTATGTTAAGGTACAATTTAATATGCACAGTGAGAGTTTTGGAAGCACTGTGTATTTTACAGAAGTTCTTGCCTATCTAACAAGGCAGATCACAAGGCTTTTGGAAGAACTGAAAAGAAAGGAGGAATGGAGAAGAAACTCAGATGAGGAGATCCTTGGAAAGCTAAATGCTGTTGATTCTGAAAATGAAAAGATTTACCTTGAAAATGAAAAATTAAAGGTGAGACCATTATGAATCATTGTTGAGTGGCTTTGCATTTCTGATACATTAATGAAATAATCACAGTAATTTCCTTTGGGCCTCCTGTATAGAGATCTCAAACCTGTAGAATAAATTTTGCTATCCAATTTTTACAGGAAGTGAAAATGAGACACAGAAAATTTATCAGTGAAAGCCTATGGCAGAGCTAGGAACAGGGTTGTCTATTCATCTATCTGCTTAACCAGGATGCCATTTATTCCAGTGTCAGTAACTACACAGTTGCTTAGCTAGAAGTTGCTATTTTATGTTTGTAAACTTCCTTTCAGATTAAAGAATTGAGTTTAGCTCAATTATTAATTTCAACTTTTTTACAGGTTCTTTGTTTTATTTATCCTCCAAAGTAAATGTTCTCATGAGCTGACAAACCAGCTGCGGGTTCTCATTTTTGTTTGACAGGATAAATAACTATGTCAACCTTTTGAATGCCTGTACATCACTTGCTAGTGGTATCATATGGTAGATTGTGTTCTTTTAATAACACTCTTAGAAATCTTGTATTTTCCATGTTTTTATCAAGGCTTCCCTTGTCACATTGGAAAGCAATACTGTTTCTGTTGGAAATGAGCTGCAAAATCTTCAAGAAAAGGCAAAACTGCAGGAAAACCTTGTTGAATAATATAAAAATCAGGTGAGTAGTGTGTTTAAAATGTTCATATATGGCTTTTAAATTCTAAGCAGTTTTGAGAAAATGATAAAGGTTTTGTTTGTAATAAACGAGAACTGTTGTTACGGTGACTGTAATACTGTTGTAACATTCAGGATGAGAGAAGAGAGTACCATTACAAACCATATCCAAAGAGGCTTCACATTACTACTGCTACACTTAATCCTAAGTGTATTATGTGAAGCCCAACTGAAGCTCATTGAAGCCAACAGAGCCAATTACATAGTGGCTTAGTAAAGACTTGCTTCCTAAAAAACAAGTTTGCAACCCAGTAAACTACATTTAAAAAGTAAAATTTGAGTCTCGTGACTTTAATGGACAAATCCAATGATATTTTATTTCTCCTTGGTTAAGGAGTAGAACTTTGGGGTGTTGATTGACAAGAAGCTCAACATGAGCCAGCAGTATGCACTTGCAGCCCAGGAAGCCAACCATATCCTGGGCTGCATCAAAAGAAGTGTGACCAGCAGGTCGAGGGAGTAATCCTGCTCCTCTGCTCTGATCTCATGAGACCCTACCTGGAGTACTGAGTTCAGCTCTGGGCCCCCACAGGAAGGTTGTGGAGCTGTTGGAGTGAGTCCCCAGGAGGGCCGTGAAGATGCTCCAAGGGCTGGAGCACCTCTCCTATAGAGACAGGCTGAGAGAGTTGAAGTTATTCAGACTGGAGAAGAAGAAACTTCAGGGAGACCTTGTAGCAGCCTTTCAGTACTTAAAGGGACTGACAAGAAAGCTGGAGAGGTACTTTTGACAAGTAGTGACAGGACAAGGGGGAATGGCTTTAAATGATGGAAGGTAGACTTAGATTAGATCTAAGGCAGAAGCTCTTCCCTGTGAGGGTGCTGAGGCGCTGGCACAGGGTGCCCAGAGAAGCTGTGGCTGCCCCATCTCTGGCAGTGTTCAAGGACAGGTTGGACACAGGGGCTTGGAGCAACTTACTCCCAGTGCGAGGTGTCCCTGCCTCTGGCAGGGGGTTGGACTGGATGAGCTTTAAGGTCCCTTCCAGCCCAAACCAGTCTGGGATTCTATGGTATCTTTATTTCCACATTTCTAAGAACATCAAGCCAGCATTCAAGTATTGTTGTAAGCGGTTTTATTTATGCAGCTAGTTCCACACTGAAAATATCAGCAAAACAAAAAAATCAGACTTAAAATGGGCTTTTTGTATTTGCCTTTAATCACAGAGAGGACGTTTTAGAACTTTGATTCTAAGATGTATATATTTCTGCACTAGAATAGGCACCATTTCACTGAGTCTTCACTTATCTCTTGTAAAAATTACTGAAAGACATGATACAAGTGTAGGTCATTCTCCATAGTTGAATATGAAGTGTTGATATCAGAGGGTTCTTTACCCAGTTACCTTTTTATATGTGCTGTGGTGAGTAGAAAAATGAAAATAAATAGCTCATATTATGACAGGTACTGAGGTTCTGTTTAGAAAACAAAGGTTTTCCTTTATGCTTCATACTAATGATTCTGTATTTTCTGTATTTAAAAGAAACACCTTACAAATGCATGTGAAAATTATATGTTGTCCTAGGTACAAGAATTACAAACAGCAGTAGAAGAACTGAAATCCAGATATGCAACAGTCTTAAATGAAAACAAAAGAATAATAGAAGACAAAAGCTTGGAAGTAGATCAGGTAAGTTTTGGCGTAATAAAACATATTTCCAAACATGCTCTAGGGCATTGATCTTTCCTACACTTTTGTGTAGGATGCACTCAAAAGTCACAAGGTACTGGCTCTTTTTCCATGTATAAAACTGTTTTTAAATTCACTAGATGTTTTATAGCCTCATGTGAGCTGGTGTGTTTTGGTTACTACACAATTGCAGAAAGGTGAGAAATGCTTCCTAAGAGTAATGATGAAGGAGTTGGGCTGCTGTTGTGGAATTTCAGGATCTTTTAATCACTTTTAAAAATGGAATTTTGTTGATGCTTTTAAAACTACGTCTCTCAACAGTACAGCTGTGAAAGTTGCATCCAGAAGCAAACCTACTGTAAGACTGTTTTGTTTTAACTAGCAGTTAAAAACAGTATCCATACAGAGATGAGTTTTAAGTGTTTCAGCAGATGGAGTTGAATAATGGAACAGAGTTAGCACATTCTTAAACATCAGAAAACAATACAAAACTGATAGGAAATAATTTTCCTCAGTTCCCCATGGCTCATCAAAACACATATTCTTTTAAGCTATAAAGCTGTGGTAGGGATAGGTTTTGCATTGCCTACATTGTTCTGTTTTACAGAACAGAATTAATCCTCACAGAGAGCATCTTAGATATACATTTTATTTCATACTAACCTTATTTTTCCATATTTGAGTTGTAGAATGGAGCAAAATACTTTCTGAACCCCGGAATAGTACTTGCACAGCATTTTATGTGGCTTCAGATGGCATTAGGTGTTGCCCTCTTTCCAGTAGTTGTATGGTCATAAGTTTTCCTGTCAGCTGTTTAACGTGGCTGAATGCCATATCCCAAAATATATTGCCATAAAGATAAAATCAAAGTTGGGTATTGCATGATGAATTACTACCACTTGCATAATTTTGTATATATTCATTATGAATGTTACTGGTTCTTTAATGAAATACAGTCAGAGATGGAAATTTCTCCAGTGGTGAACTTCTAACTTTGTCATTATTTTATAAAATCATTGATATTATGCAACTTGTGTAGAATTTTAGATTTATTACTTATGGAAAGCCATTAAGTATTATGACAATTTATGGTTTTACATTCACATTTTTCTCCTCTGATGCTACTATGCAGGTGAGGGACAATGTGGAGCCTGAGTTAAAGGAGTTAGAACATGGTTTTGAGTTGCTGAAAGCACCTGAGGAAAAGCAGCAATCCTCTCAGAAAAAGCTTGTATCTGGGAAAGGATCCATGCACACAAATGCAAAACCCTTAGGGAGCTGCAGGTTCAGGTGCTCAGAATATGCTTATGTTTAAAGATAAATGAGAAAATTACATGGAAGAAAGTCTCTGGGCCATTTTTTTCTTATTAGCATGTGTGACAGTCGTGTAGTTTCCTTTCTTGTTTGCTTCATAGGTCAGGAGTTTCTTCTGTAGAAATAGCATAATGCAAATAAAACTATTGTCAGCAGTATTTATGTGAATTTAGTATTCGACAAGACTAGTTACTTGGAAATTCTGTATCTTTTCAGTGCGTATATTCTTGATCCTCTTGAATACTTATGGCCTGAGATGTGTTGCAGAATTCTTCCCTGGAAAGAAATGTTCAAGCCTAGTTAATGTTTGTATCTGGTGGAATAATTTAATTCCACGGTCATTTTGGTTTTAATGACTAATTTATAAACCAGACAATATTTTCTCAGACAAACAGTCATAAATTACATTGCTGATGATGGATAACTTTAACATTTTAATGATTACATTGTGTTGCTTGATAAAATAGGTTATAAATTATGCTTTAATAGGATCATATCTATTTTAGCAGTATGTCAGCACTACTGCTTGTGTTTGCTCTTAAGCCCCAATATGAATATTCCTCAGCTTTTTTTTCTGTGACATTGGTTTCAATGGCAGGGCTGAATTTGGGGAAATACTCTTCCAGCATGAATGACAAAGGTGTTTGAATCAGTAGGGTGGGAAAGGGACTTCATCTTCTTGCTGTGTCAGTGGGAAAACTCCAGCTGAAGTGCAGTGAGGATCTGTGTCCCCATAGACTTTATATGCTTATAAAAGAAATCAGCTTTTGATCTTGTTTTAGATTTCTTGTCAAGATGATGTTCACAGCATCAGATTGAGTTCTTGTTTGCATCATTTTAAATACTTTTTCCAGGAATGCTCATAAGCTCATAAATCCATCTTTGCTTAGCAAAACACTTAAGCAGCAGTTAATTGTGAGGTGTATATATAAAATGATATATGTAAGTTTAATCTAACTACATGTTTTCCTGAATAGATGCAAAAAAGTTACTATTAAGTATAGGTAAGGATTTGGGAATATGATCACTAGTCTGATGGAAGAGTAGTTAAATTTCAGCATTAAATCTTGGTGATGCCCTTCAGAGATTTCTGACCCATGATCCTGTGACCAGAATTTAGCAAGACTCCTTTTGAAGTAACAGGACCCTGTGCAGAAAACCTCTTCCAGGTTCAGCTAAACCAGGACATCAATTTCCTACCCCTCTGCTGCACATTTTTGCTACTCCTAGTCTGCTGGTTTAACAGCCTGTGATTCACATGGACACAATCAGACAGATGAGCTCAGATTACTGGATGGACCTGCGGATGGCAGTCCAGTGAATGATGGAGATGCCAGCAGGCTGTTGATGTGGCAGTTTGTTGCTCATTTTCTGTTGCTGTGTGCTAGCAAGAGCAGCCATTGCTGCTGTTAATGAGATTTAAAAGGAAACATGTCAAAGTTTGTCAGTCTGGATGCTGGGCAAGGGAACACAGTCTGACTTCTTGCTTTCTTCAACTTGTGAGATGAACCTCACTGTCGTCTTTTCTGATACTCAGCACATTCTGACATTCTTTGCCAGTCCTACACTGTATATAAATACGCACTATTAGTTTTATGCTTCCTATGACTGTAGTGTGAGGGAACTGATTTTTGCTGGAACCTAAAGCTGAAGAGTCAAAGTTCACAAGGAAGGAGGTGGCCGAGCTCCTCATACACAAGGCTACATGAGCAGCATGTGGGTTTTGTTCAGGTGTCCCTTTGTTACATAGCAGGGTTTCAGCCTTACATTGTTCACATAAAGTTTTAGTCTGCTACTTTGGGGGCATTTTATTTGTTTTAAATACAATATCATCTTTACTCAAATATAACATAGTGTGTACTTGGAATTACAGCTGAATTCCTCAGTTGGAGTTTAGCAGGCAAGTTTATTGTACTCAGCAACACCCTGTGTATCGGTCTCCAACTGAAAATGAATTGTCACTTTCACAGGAGGAATGCAGTGCAACTTGTGTGGGCAGTCATTCCTCAGAAGAGGAAAACTGTAACACTGAGGAGAAATATGAAGATCTTAAAAGGTAACTGCTTAAAAATCTGACTGCAGTTAATTCCTACATGTGTCTGCTGTAGTGAATTACAATGCATTGATCTGTTCTGCATAAAGGCAATTAGAAAAGATGGAGATTGAACATAAAGAACTTGCTTGTCAGCTCCAAAAGGAAGATGAGAGTCTGCAGTGCAGTCAGTTGCAGCTTGAAGAGAAAATTGCAGAATATAATGGATTAACCAGACAACTGGAATCGGCTTTGGAGGAAGAGAGAAAAATGGTATTGATGATTTAATACATCTCTTCAGCTTGTTTGCCATTGTTAGTTAAAAATAGCATTAAAACCAAACGTGCTTGAGAAGAAGGGATGGGATGAGATTGTTTTACATGAAGGGAGCAGTACTAAAAAGTGATTGGGAATTCTGGTGTGCTTAAATACGGATTTCACAGTTCAGTTTCTCTGTGGAGTTCGGATCCGGTTGTAATGAATGACAAAGTTCAGAGGACAAACAGTTCCCTATCATTTTATTTGAAGACAAATCAAAATTCTTCAACCCCCCCAATATTGAATCCCACAGAAAAGCCTCCGAACAAAACCTTATTTTTCCTTATTTTGTTTGAAATAGTCAGCCCACAAGAACTTCAGTGGGAAAGTCTCATTTTAGAGAAAGGCTTTGCACACTTTCAGTATTAAGCAGAAATTTGTTATCTGTAGGAAGGATTGTCATGGTTTAACCCACAGCCAGACAGCTTGTTACCCACTCCCCCCCCTTCTTGCCCTCCCCCTACTCCTGGGGGAACGGAGAGGAGAGTCAAAAAGAAATGCAACTCCCACGGGTTGAGATAAGAACAGTTTAGTAACTAAGGTACAATACGAATCACCACTGCTACCACCAACGACAACAATGATAAGAGAAAACAGCAAAGGAAAGGAGTACAATACCACGCGCCGAACCACCAGTCCGACCCGGCCGACCCCCTCCCCTTCCGGGTTCCCCCCCAGTTCCCCCCTCGGCATGACGTGCTGTGGTATGGAATACCTCTTTGGTCAGTTTGGGTCAGGTGTCCTGTCTCTGCTTCCTCCCGGCCTCCCCTCCTCCCTGGCAGAGCATGAGACTCACAAAGTCCTTGGCCAAACCAAAACATCACCTCTATCAGCTTTGTTCCGAGCCCGAAAGTCAAAACACAGCACTGCACCAGCTACCAAGAAGGAGAAAAAATGACTGCTGCTGCTAAACCCAGGACAAGGATGCACCCAGTAAATCAACTGGGAGAAGAAATGAGATTGTGGTTATTTAATGAGAAAATATGTATGAAATTGTCATTTCTTTCCCAGATTAATCGTGTTGAAATAAACCTGAATTTCCTCAGTACTGAGGGTACTGGTTTGGCTTTGAAAAAACCAACTTTGACTTAACTTACAAATGAGTTACAAAAGTAACAGCTGCTCCCTCCTCATGTTTTTATCCAAATCGGAATTTCTTTCAGATTTTGCTAGAATATTTCCAAGGTTTGTTTAGTTTGTTCTGTGCATGGGAAATAATGCACATTTGCAGCACTGTGTGCAGTGCTGGTGTCCTCAACACGAGAGGACATGGAGCTGTTGGAGCAAGTCCAGAGGAGGCCACAAGGAAGATCAGGGGCTGGAGCACTTCCCGTATGAAGACAGGCTGAGAACACTGGGGCTGTTCAGCCTGGAGAAGGGAAGCTGCATGGAGACCTCAGAGCAGCTTCCAGTGTCTGAAGGGGGCTGCAAGGATGCTGGGGAGGGATTCTTCATCAGGGACTGTAGCAATAGGACAAGGGGTGATGGGCTCACACTGAAACAGGGGAAGTTCAGGTTGGATATAAAGGAAGAAGCTCTTCCCTGTGAGGGGGCTGAGGCGCTGGCACAGGGTGCCCAGAGAAGTGGTAAATACCCCATCACTGGCAGCGTTCAAGGCCAGGTTGGATGGAGTCCTGGGTGACATGGTCTAGGGTGAGGCATCCCTTCCCACGGCAGGGGCTGAACTGCATGATCTTAAGGTCCTTTCCAACCCAAACTATTCTGTAATTCTATTAGCTGACAGGACAGGCAGTGGAGCTGTTAATGCTGAGGTATAAGGACATACTTTGGTTTGGGTTTGAAGTGAAAGTAAATGTACCTCATTTCTCTCTCATGACCCTCACAGGTGGCTGAAGAACTGGAAAAGATGTCATGCAGAGAACAAGCCCTTCGGACGAAGATGCGGTTTCTTGAGGCTGAAGTGAGAGAGGGGCAAGAAAAGAAAACCCAACTCCTCTGCATATTTCACCACGTGAGTAAATAACACTGCTTATGACTGCAGGAATTGCTACATCAGCACTTACAATCAAAGTTCTTTTACTGAAACACACACTGCTGATGAAATGGATACACACTTTTGGGAACAGCAAATGAATTCCATTTGACAATAGACTTTGTATATTGACATTTCTAATAGACTTAAAAGATGCCCAGTCTAACTAAATCACTCGAGCAATATTGAGTTTACAGCTCTTATTCAATCCAGTTTTCCCAGCAAGGCAAAAATCAAAGAATATGTATGAAGTTGTAATTTCCTTCTCATGTTGAGTGAACACACCTGGATTTTAGTAAATGGGCAATGGTTCCATAATGACATAGTGGCATCTTTTTAGTTGCTCCTGGTTTGATGACAAGATTCAGATCTCACTGGAATTTGTGAGCTTTCATCTTCTGTACTGGTGTTGCACAGAAACAGAGCTGGTAACAAAAGAGATGTTCTCAGTTTTCAAAGCATCAGGCCTTTAAATGCCTGGGATTCTGTTGTTCCTTACCTCTTCAGCAAAGCCACAGTCTGAGAAGGATTTGGGGTGAGTAATGTTCTCTGCAGATAAACAAAGGAATCTGCTCCATTGTTTTATGTAAGCCCGAAAATTTCAGCACATTTTCGATTAATAAAATACCACACACAGTTGAATTTTCCAGACCAGTGCTGGCAAATCCCGTGCTTCAACCAAAGCTTTGATTCAGTCAGAGGTTTGTTCTGCGATCAGTAATAATAAGCTACAAAGCCATTTAAAGTTAATAGAGAAGACACTGGAAAGGTTTCCTGTCACTCTCCTAGACTTCCAAAACCAATATCCTGTATTCTGACTTGCAGCATTCAAGGTTAAATTCAAGCCAATCAAATTCAAACTCTATTCAAGATTGAATAAGACCTCAGAGATGTGGATCTGAATTCAGTGTGCTTTCATCAGTTTTGATCTGTATCAAGTGCAACTTCATGTCTGCTTTTACCCTAAGACAAAAGTGTTCTTAAAACAAGATCAGACATTGGCTGGTGGTTTATTCTATTACAAGCAGTTTTTCATAGGAAATTCTTGCTGTGTTAAACAGAAAAGAAATTGGCTTGTATTTGGTCCCAAAAAACTCCCAGGATGTTTTCAGGTGTTTTCCATTTGAAGTTCACAGGTAAAATATAAATGTTTGAGAGAGCTGCTCTAAATTAATTAAACGCTTTTTCTTCCAATTACGTTTACACGTAACTGAGGATGCCTTATGGAAAACGAGGAAATGGTTTTATTCCTGTTGTTGTAGTGAAACTGGGAAAAATAGGGCTGTGAGGGTAACTTTATTCAGTTACTGACCTGATTACTTTGTGCTAAGGCTGGATTGAAATCTGAGGCTATTAATTCCATTTTGCAGCATCTGGAATCTGTAACAGACAAGCAGTAAATACCTGGGTATCTGCAGCATGTACATAACATACATATATATATATATAATATAACATATAATCTATGGTGTGCACCAGGGATGGAACTAGTGAGCAGGTAGGATTGCTGTCAGCCATCTTTTTTGTATAAGGAGCTATAGGCATCAAAAATCACATCGAATACCTATAGCAGATGTTTATTGACAAATCAAGATGAGAGAGAGCGTTGAGCCCAGGACAGATTTAAGCTGCCAGGAATCTCTCATGGGAAGAATTCAGGCAGTGAGTTCTTCCATTCCCAGGCCCTTTCCTCATTATCAGCCCAGTCAAACACAATCACTTCAGCCCTGACTGAACATAAACAAAGCCTTGACATTTTGTGGCCTTTTTGGAACCCTTCAGTTTATGGAGCCTCTGAAACCTGTCCCAGGTAAATGACACTTCCGACAATCAGGTACCAGCCGCCTTACCTGGCCACTGATTGATCTGTGTTTTACTTCTAAGCTCATTGCATTTCTCTTTGTGTTTTCCTCTAGAACAAAAAATGCCATGAAGTACATCTGAAGGAGCTGGAGAACAGCCTCAGAAGTCGGAGAACAAGAGCCAGAGCATGCAGAATCACGTGCAGCTCCTGAGAGCTTCCTACACCATCACGTTTGGCTGAATTCTGGATTGGATTCCCAAGGTTTGGCTCTCGGCCTTGCTGCAGGCAGGGCAGACTGCAGGACAGCAGCGATAGGTGTGTAAGGGCAGGCTGTGTGCACAGAGCTGTGCGGTGCTCTGTGCATTTACTGTGCGTTAGGTCCTGTGCTCTAAAACCTTGCGTGTATCCTTTAGCCCATGGTAAAAACAGGGGATCACAGACTGCCCTTCAGTTCACGTCGGGGAAAAGAGCAGCCATGGGTGGGTTGCACAGGACTTTGCCTGTTTTAGTTATTAGTAGTTAGATGATATTCATCAGACCTCACACTTCTGTAACTGTAGAAATCCGGTTGCCCAAGATAATGACACCTGTCCTGTTACGAGAGACAAGAATCTAAGGAGCATTCGGTTCCCTTCCTTTCTTTTCCCTGTAGCTCAGCACCAATGCAGCATGCATGGCTGCTCTGCAGGAGATGGAAGCCATCACAAGGCTGCCCCATCCAGCCTTTTTCCCACACATCCCATTATGGCCTGGAGTACACTGTAGTGATATTTTGCAAATAGAAGTAAGAAAGTATTTCAGATACAGATGGACTTTGAGCTCTGAATGTGCTGATGGAGCCTTTCACAGGGGCACAGCTGCAGTCAGGTACTGAAGTGTTTGTGTACAAGAACTGCTGTCACTGAAGTCAGACTGACTTAACTCTCGGGTTGCACCCATGTTAACTATTCAGCTGATACAGGGCTAATACAAAACCCAGTTCTCACTGAGAAAGTCACTGATTTATAGACATGCTGGGAGATGTTTGTCAAAAAGTAGTACTTTCAGTTCAAAATAAGCAATTTAGAACGTGTATTTATCTGGTTTTTGACTGGAAATGTAAGTTAGCTCATGCACGGACACTTCCTGTTCGTTAAATGTAGCATTTCATTGGTAGTTACAATGTGTAGAATGTTGATGTGTTTTTCTTTCTTTGCAATACTTCTCCATCCTGACAAATACTGATCTGTGTTAATGAGATGCCTGTGTGCACTTTGAAAGAGGAAAGTATTCACTACCTATGACACGCAGTAGTAAATATTTCTGTTAAACTTTGAGGTTTTTGCATTTCACACATGCACAGAACCAGGTTTGTGTTCATTTAGCTCTGTTTGTGCTACTGTGAAAATAGCAAAACCTTTCTGAAGTCATCCGATATGAAGAAAAGATTCCAGACACCAACTGCTGAACCCATGAAATGTTTCTAAAAGCTCATTGTGGACAATTCAATGCTTTGCATTGATGACTGCTACAAAGATGTGCAGCCCCTGCACTGCAGCCTGCAGGAACCTAGCTCATGATAAAAACCATCCCCTGACACATGAGCACCTTGCCCACAGAGACCCTGACTCATGGGACGTGTCGTTCCCCCAGAGAACACTCACCTTGCTCTGCCCTATTCCATACAGCCTATTCCATGTGGCTGGAATGCTGCGATGTTCCCTCAGCACCTCCCTGCTCACAGCCCCCCTCCACTGCCCTAACCACAGCCACAGGCACCGCTGCCCTGCCCTTCCTCTGCTAGGAGACACCACCCCTGTCCTGCCCTCCAGCACTGGTGCCGGCACTGCTGGGGTCAGGGAGCAGCTCCAGGGCTCTTGGGGCAGGGCTGCGCTGCCGGGAGCTGCCTGAGCCGGGTCCGTCCCTGCATAGGGATGGACCCAAGGGCAGGCAGAGGAGCCACAGCCGTGCCGGGAGCTGCGTGGAGCCCAGCAGCAGCCGCTTTGCCTGTGCTGAGGATGACATGGACACAGCCAGAGGGTGGGGATTTGGCCCATTTTGCTTCTGGGTTCGTTTTGGGTTGGGTTTGGGTTTTGTTTTGCTGTGCTTGCTGTTGCTTGTTTGACTCAGGATTGGGTTTCGTTTGTGTTGGGTCAGGTCCCCATCTCTTTCAGGCCCAGCTCCTGTTCTTTTGCAGCTCCAGCTCACAGGCAGCTCTGACCAGTTTGAGCTCCACCACTGCCAGGAGCTGACTGGGCCACGTCTGTCCCTGCACAGAGGAGCCCCAGATGCAGCGTGTGGGGTGTGAAGCCCCAAGCAGCAGCTCTGCCATGGCTCCAGGTTGGGGGGGGCTTGGGCCCCCCTTCCTTGGTGTGTGTGTGGGTGTTCTGAGGTTGTGTTTGGTTTGGGTTTCCTGGTTTGATTTGGGGTTGGTTTGGTTTATTTTGGGGTTTGGATTTGGTTGGTTTTGGTGTTGGTTCAGCCACAGCTCCTGGACATCTAGTTTGGTTCTGGCTCTGGGTTCAGCTCCTGGCTGTTGTGGCTGCAGCTCGTTTGCAGCTCCAGGGCAGTGGTTTCTGTCCCTACCACAGCTCCAGCTCATTCATGGCTCAGGCCCCATTGCAGCCTCAGGTCTGTTTCTGCCCTCCTGTTTTTCAGGCCCAGCTCCTGGATGGCTCCAGTTCCATCGTGGCTGCAGCCCGTGTCCATCTCCAGCCCCAGGCAGTTACAGCTTGTGCTTGCTGTGGCCAGGTCCTAAACCAATCTCTGTCACGATGCAGATGAACAGGAGCTGTCAGAACTGGAGTAACAAAGAGTAAACAAAGAGTTGGCCCCAAGCACACCGTGAAAAGCTCCTTTTGCCCCAGAGACCATCTCACGCATTCAATTTGGGCTGGTGCATGCCAGGGTCCCAGCATTACGGACAACCCCCTCCGGAGGGGGCCCATGGACCAGCACCTCCCCCCCCCCCAGCCCATAACCGCGCCCAAAGCCTGAAACCTCTCTCCACAGCCTCACCCCATCCCCGCCCCCGAGCCCGGCCCCAGAAACCCCCAAGACGGGCTCGTTTCTGGGCCCAAAGCCGCAGGACTCGGGCTCCGGCCCAGCCCCGGGGCTCCATCTGAGGCCGGGAAATTGCCTCTGGGGCCGTGCTGCAGAGACCCGGCTCCGGGTCCCGAGCACCCTCGTGAGCCCCCAGAGCACCCTCCTGTGCACTCAAACACATTCCAAAGCCCCCAGACCGGCCCCGGCTGACCCCGCACCCCCTGTGCTGTGGGACAGCCCCGGGGGGTGCTTGGGAACCATGTGTGGGACCTGCAGAACGGGCCCTGACCCGGTGGCCGCGTCCGGGGGCCCCTGGGGCTTTATTCCGCGGCGCCCCGAGCCTCGCCGCTGCTCCGAGCGCTCTCCGCGGGCCCGACCCCGCCCCCCGGCTGCGCCCGGCCTCCGCTCTCAGCGCCGGCCTAGGGCCTGGTCCCCCCCGCGCCTCACCTGGGCCCAGCCAGGGGAGGCTGTGAGCGGCCTCGGCGGTACCAACCGAATGCAGCCAGAGCGAGCGCAACGACGGCGGCCGCCGCGGCTCAAACCTCTTCGGCCCCGCCCGCGCAGAGTCCCCGCCCTCGCCTCGCGCTGCCTCTTCCGCCCCAAGTGGCCAAAAAGGGCATAACCGGCAGGTCCCAATCCAGGTTTTCCTCAATGTCTCGTTCACCTCCACCCTGTTTGAACCCAGGTTTCACCCAAATTTGAAGGAAAAAGGCACACGGCATTTGCTAAATCTTCTCTTTGCTAACCATGAAAAGCACCAGTTTGAGAAGCACAGGGGGCCTGCCAGGAGGGGCAGAAGCAGTTCTCCCCCTGAACACTCCCATCTTCTATTCAGCCGGTGCTTCCCTGTGCCAGGTTCTCCCTGTCCACTTCTCAAGCACTGCTGGAAACAAGGCCCCAGCTGCCAATCCAACAGGCAGCAGCAAGTGCTTCTTGTACCCACCGTTTGCACCGTGGGGTTAAAGCCTGCAGAAAAGCATTCTCCCTTCTCCTGACAAAGTTCTCCTTCAGTCTCGGAACACTGAGGAGCAGCTGAGAATTGGGAGACTTTCACACTGAACATTAAGCGTCTTACCAGAGCTTTTCACTTGCTCCGGTTCAAACAGAAAACAGATTCCTCTTGCTGCTGTTAACTCATAGAGGAATGGACTGAGCACCTCAGGGAAGCGACTGAAGTTTTCTAGGAGCACTGGAAATGGGTTACCACTGCACATGTCCAGTTGAGCTGTAAAAGTCCTCCAAGTCATGCTGAAGTACAAGCTATGTTTGGAGCTGTGATAACCTGTTATCAGTCCAGCAGCAAGGAAAAGAAAGGCACGGGTGGCAATAGCTGGAACGCAGCCGTGTTTGTAACCTGGGGCTGTTCTGGGCTTCACGTGCTCTGAGTTCTTTTGAGAGTGTGGCCCTGCACTCAGGAACAGTGATGGGCACAAGAGTCGGAACAGGTCCCAGCAGAGGGGCTGCTCCTCTGTACTGAGGGTCTCAGGTGGGTCACTACGCTGTGTAACAGCCTCAGGGACAGTAATACACACGGTGTACACAGGGATTACTACTGCCCCTCAGACCCACCTTCGGTCCCACCGGCAGGATGCACCCCAGTGCTTCAGAGGTGACACCCTGAGCACAAGGAGATTTCTGTTAACACTGAAGCAGTGACCTCAAGCAGCCTTTCCACGTTCCCTGCTCATGACTGTTATAAATACAACATTTCCAATAAAACAAACACCTACTTTAAATGTTTTAATGACCTGGTTGGCATTTGTGGGTCAAAACAAGGAAAGAATGTCCATGTGCAGATTTGACCTTGGCCTTTAATTCCCTTCTAAGCTCCAAAACAATGTGCTAGCAGCTCCTGGCTTTCCAGAACTCCTGTTGCAATATGTGAGATTGCAGCTGAGTTTCAAGAAGCCTCTCACACACATGCCTTTCTTTTTAACCACTGCCTTCCCAAATCCATCTGCTCATCACCTCCTCTGGAGATGCTTCATTATCTGTCAGCGTTCTGCTGAGTCTGTCCCACAGGCAACTTCTGTCTGGCACAGCAGGTTTCAGAGCTGTTGCTTTTATGCCAATACATTCCTGCAACACACCACCACAATGAAGTAACTAAATAAAGGCTTATTCACAGAACTCACCTTGTCATGAGTCACCCCAATTAAAATTAGTCAAATGGGGTTTAGCACCTGCTTGCCCTCAACATCTCAGTCTAAGGAAATGGTGTATTTGGTTACATACATCTCTTCAGTTGCCTCTGTGGAGTGTCCTTTTCCAGAGCAGCATTCCCCAAACTTTCTATTATCAAGCTTAAAAAAAAACCAGCTTTGATTTGTGCCAAACTCTAAAGCTATTTTAAAGCAGAAAACTGGCTCAGTCATGGAGGAGTTCCCTATTTCTACCCACGTAAACCAGTCTCAGCAGTCTGAGTTTTGTCTGGACAGCACAGACCTGGTTTTTCCAGTTCTGTTCTATTTTGGTGCAGCACCATGTGTGGATGCCATTTGTTTCCCAGAATGAGGGAAGAAAGATGGTGGGTAAGAAGGATGCTGGTTTGTGGACAAGCGGAGTGGGAAATGGGCCTGGGCACTACAGTACCAGAGCTCCTTCTGCCAGGAAAAGCAATTTCTTTTCCCTTTCTTTTTGTATTTTGTTTCAAGATGAAACCACTTTCATTTGATTCTTGAACACACGTGACAGGATGGGTTGGACAAACAGATTCTAGGAACCTGCAACATGCACAGCCATCCTGATCTTCCAAGTGAAGTTTATGGCATCATTAATACAGGTCTGTCTGTATCCAGAGCACGAGCAAAAGCCTGGAACCCCAAGATGGGAAGGGAAAACCAACCAACCTCCTCCCAGAAGAGCTGCCTATCACTGATTCATGAAACTAAGAAACCTTTTTCCATGCTCATGAAAAGGAGTGGCATAAACCACCGGCTATCTACACCTAATAGGGCAGCAAATACATTATACATTGACATACGTGTTCTGAGCAGCAGTTTCATAAGCAGAAATCTGAGCTTCCACATTATTTTCTTCTTGGCAGATAAAAGTTGCCCTTTACTTTTTCTATAAAAGAAAGGTAACTTTTCCCCCTACTGTTTCTCACAGTTGGACTTCAGGTGCTCATTAGTATGGCTTTTTCTATGGACATGTCACAGTATCTATGACAACTATATATACAATTTAATAATGAATTTTTAACTCCTACCTTGATAAGAGGCCAATCTCACTGGGCTTTTCACATTTCTAGACCACTTCAGAACACCAAGGATTAGGTGTGGTATCTGTCGAGTGTGTTGAAAGCTGCATCCAATGGAAGAGTCACTAAATTAATTCCTTCTCTCCACTCCTAATCCACAGGGTATTTCTTCTTTCTACATTTAAGAAACATAAAGATTGAATTTTCTGTTCTTCAGAAACATAAGTCATTTGTCAACACTAGATAGGATTGAATGAAAAAGCCTGTCATGTAAGTATCACAGTAGCACTCCATGCTGCACTGTTTCTCTTCCCTAGTCGTTCTCCTCATCTTCTCTAGTACACAGTACAGAGCTAATGAAGCAGCAGTATATCCAGAATTTTCTTACAGTACAAATCACTTTGAAAGAGCGCTAAAGTAATTTTGTATTTGGGATGTCCAGCCACGTGCATCTACTCCACTACTGGTGCCATATTTGGGCAAGAAACTTCCCTGCAGCAATGCAGACTGGCTAGGATGCCAGCTCTTCCCAGAAGAATTCAAATGCTGCACCAAGGCCCCTCAACATCCTCAAAAGATTGTGAATTGATCCTTGAGAAAAAGCTGGAATTTGTTGCTCTGTGGCTTCAGTTCTACTGTTCCAGGAACTGATGTTTTCACTCTACATAAGGAAGAATTAAAGTGCTGAGGCACACAAACTGAGCATTTGGAATGACCTGCGTAGCAGAGAGCCCAGATTTAACAATCGATCGGTGCATTCAGGCATATCTTGGTTTCACTCTTACACTACCAAGTTTCAAGAATCCTGACAGTTTGTATGTCTACCACAACAGAGGAAAACCATTAAAAATCACATATACAATAAAGGTGAAGAGTGATTATCCTATTTTCCTCGAGTTAGTAAGATTAAAGAACACTCAAAAGAATCACCACATTCTGGTATATTTTAACCTTATTTAGGCCTATGGTCTTCTAAAAAACAATGAACCTGAAGGGAAAGGAAGTGGCCAGTGAGCCAGTGAGAGAGGTCAGAATCAGTGCAGAGTTAGAGCAGATTAATGCATTTATGATCCATTCATCAAATAACCTGAGGTTTGCTGAGCATGCATTCGCTGTATTGCTACAAAATTCATCATCACATAGAATCATAGAATAGTTAGGGTTGGAAAGGACCTTAAGATCATCAAGTTCCAACCCCCCTGCCATGGGCAGGGACACCTTGCTCTAAACCGTATCACCCAAGGCCTCGTCCAACCTGGCCTTGAACACTGCCAGGGATGGAGCATCCACAACCTCCCTGGACAACCTATTCCAGTGCCTCACCACCCTAACAGGAAAGAATTTCCTCCTTATATCCAATCTAAACTTCCCCTGTTTAAGTTTTAACCCATTACCCCTTGTCCTATCACTACAGTCCCTAATGAGTCCATCCCCAGCATCCCTATAGGCCCCCTTCAGATACTGGAAGGCTGCTATGAGGTCTCCACGCAGCCTTCTCTTCTCCAGGCTGAACAGCCCCAACTTTCTCAGCCTGTCTTCATATGGGAGGTGCTCCAGTCCCCTGATCATCCTCATGGCCTCCTCTGGACTTGTTCCAACAGTTCCATGTCCTTTTTATGTTGAAGACACCAGCACTGCACACAATACTCCAAGTGAGGTCTCACGAGAGCAGAATAAAGGGCAGGATCACCACCTTCGACCTGCTGGTCACACTCCTTTTGATGCAGCCCAGGATACGATTGGCTTTCTGGGCTGCAAGCGCACACTGAAGCCGGCTCATGTTCATTTTCTCATCGACCAGCACCCCCAAGTCCTTCTCCGCAGGGCTGCTCTGAATCTCTTCTCTGCCCAGCCTGTAGCTGTGCCTGGGATTGCTCTGACCCAGGTGTAGGACCTTGCACTTGGCATGGTTAAACTTCATGAGGTTGGCATCAGCCCACCTCACAAACGTGTCAAGGTCCCTCTGGATGGCATTCCTTCCCTCCAGCGTATCAACCGAACCACACAGCTTGGTGTCATCGGCAAACTTGCTGAGGGCGCACTCAATCCCACTGTCCATGTCATCATCAAGAAACATAAAAAGCCTAGATATAGTTTATCTTTAGATTTATTATTTTTTGAGGCACTTAATGTCTTACATTTATATAGCGCCGTTTCCCCCTCCAAAACACTTTACAGTATATACATACAGGAATGTTTCCCACCACTGTTGAAATGCAGCCATCTGACTGTTACCAGTACCATCTTCAAAACACCAACCATTTCAGACTGGAAATCCTCATCAATACTTTGTCTCACTAGTTCACAATTCCCATGTACAAACTTCCATCTTGTGCTATTAAAAAGACATAACAGCTAAAATACAGTATCACAGTGCAATTCTGCAACAGAACTGAGACTTGGAGCATTGTCATTAGATTCGTTACAATCTTCCATTAGTTCAAGTCTATCTCAAAACACTTTAATTTAAGGCCTTTTAAGAATATCATTCTAAAACATCATTCTTGTTTATACTTTCATTATAAGCCTCTCTTACAATCAAGCACAGAAGAATGTTTTTCTTTCCTTCCAGTATTTTCAGAAACACTTAGTCCTGGCCCTATGGAGATATTGGCATCCTCAGTTCCAGTGAACTTCATGGCATCTAAAGGTAAACCTATTCCTCCTTGCTTATGGAGCTAGATTTTTAAGTTGCTTTTAGTATTCGAAATTAATCCGAGATCACACACAATTCTGTTATTAACCAATTGAAATGTAAAGTACCTTGGGATTGGCTGCTGGGGTGCTATGGAAGTGTGCTGTGCGGGGGTCTGCTTGCCAGTCTTAAAATACATTAAATTATCCCAAGTTCACTACTCCATTGCAAAGCCTGCCCTAGTCACAAAGATAACAGCAGCTTTCTCACTTCAGAGATTTTTAACTTGTATCTCTAAAAAGGTTACTAAAAGATCCCTTCCAAGAGAAGTTGCATTTGTGCTGAGAACTTTCACAAAAAAGAACAAAACCAAGCCCCCAAAACCCCACACAACAAACTGTCCGGCATCCCTACCGTCATGGTTACCGTTACCGTAAGACTACAGCATCCTGCTACCTGCTACGTTATGGCTGATGCGAGAATCTGAAGGAATAGAAAGAAAATTAGTAAAATGAGATATCTATTTGCCTTCTTGTGGATCAAGCATGAAAATTTACTCAGGTACCTTACTCTCTTAATACATTACACCTCAGAAAGGCTTTTTTGATTTTCGTTGATGCATTACACTATGAATCTAATGCGGTCACTAGATTCTTATACCAGTGTAGCTGTTTGCATTTGAGTACTATGAAAGAATAATAGCAGTAACAAGAATGGGCAAGGACTAGGATAAAAGAAAAAGTATTAACAGGTAGTGATTTCAACATGAAAGATGATGACTGATCAAACCTGGTAAAAATTAACAGACAGAAGTGCATCCAAATACATACCCATTCTATAAAAAACTGGGTTTGTTTTTAATCTAAACCCTTGATAAAAGATGCACAGAGAACAGATTTATTGTGTATTTTATGCATGCCTTCATGTAGTGCATTCCTACATTGTATCTTACATGGAACACTAAAAAACGACTAGACCTTCACTGTACAACAGGTATTGGTAATTTGTGCTTTAAAGCCTAATGAGTGATTCAGTTTGAGTTACACCTTCCTCTTCCCTGATCACACACACAAAAAAAAATGACCCTGCTGCATTTATGTTTGTCAAAGTCACATGGCAACTACAAAATAATTTGTACAGAGAGAACAGTTGCAGTAAACTATTTAAAGAGTTGGGTTTCTGCAAGGGGATTTGGCAGCTGGAACAAGAAAACCAGCAGGAACTAGAGATCCTTAACAGGGAGAATCACTGGTGAACCATTTGTGTCAGAAATCAAGAAACCTCATGACAAGTAAGAGGATAAAGATGAAGGATGAAAGCATCATTGTAGGCTTTACAGCCTACAAGACCAAACCAGTGCCATTATCACTTAGTTTCAAACTCAGATCTGAAAGGCAGCTAAACCCATGATGAGATCTCATTTTTTTTAAGAGGGAAATAGGAATTTGGAAAAAGCAACTGCTGTATTACAGAACTGAACAAACAAAGGACAGACAAGAGTCTGCTATTTCACAGATTAACATTCTGGAGTCCCTTTCTGATTTCAAGAGAAGAGTGACTGGACCCACATTCTCTTCTCTGTTTCTACTTGTGGAGCCATTCATTTCTTCTGAGCTGAAAATATGCATGAGATTGATACAAGATACATGACTTCTCTTTCTTTTTCCCCCCTGGTTATTTCTTTTGTCTCTCAACCTCCTCTCAACTCTTCATTACCAAAGTATTTCCCTGACACAGAAAGGGCTGCTGGGGTGGGAGATGGATGAAGCTCTTGCTAAATTGAGAATGGGATTGCTGAGCAGCAGAGAGAACTGCATGGACAAGGAGATGTTAAAGAGAATTCAAAACTCAGCAAAGAACAAGTTTTTTACCAGAAGGAATTAGTTTTGTCTTTTAGGTTCAGTCCATCCTTTATCAGCAAGGGCATATTGGCTACATCATAAGGCTTGGTCAAGGAAAAGGCTCTTTCATTTAACTGGGCACAGATCTGAAGATGGGAGAATGTCCTGCACTGTGTGAGATAACTCAGAAATGTGCATAGAACAGAGCAAAAATGCAAGACTGCTTTGCAGGAACAGGAGAGGTAGCAACCCTAATTTTAACAGGGTTTTTCACTCAAGGGAAAGAAGGTCTACAAAAGTCAAATCAGTTGATTTCAAATGGTTTGCATCCCAGGATGAATCAGGTTACACTGATTTAAGCCCAATTTAATTTAGGCAGGTTTTTAAACCACAAGAATAAGGACATTCTTAGTACATATCAATAATTAAACCAACATATACACAATTAGCAATATCCTACATAATAGTAAATGCTTAACAGCTTGTTTTGGGTTACCCTAGTTAATTTGTTTAGAAAACAAGCTGAGTAGCTGTATTGTACAATGTCTGCCACACTACACACTTCCTGTAATCAGTCTCTGTAGCAGCTCAGTTCATGACTTTAAGATCCAAATTCAACAGTGTCTTCAGTTATTTTCTTGAACTCGTAGTTTCCTCTGCCATCCATATGCAAGTAAAACTGAAATAGAAAAGCATATGTTAACAATCACTTGAAAATTACCACATCTTTAGCTTCTCCCTCCTCACATTTCATTAAATTCAACTGCCTCTGGAAAGAAGCTGAACTCTGTTGTTTTCTCCCTTAGTATCACCCATCAGTCTGCTAATGGTCACAGATAGACTTAACACTGCTGTCTTGGGCTTTGTGATGATATATTTAAGCTACACATTCATCCCTGTGTATTAATTCAGTATTTTCCACACACACATACAGTCTCTCTGCATAAAAAGTAATAGCAATAGTAAAAACTCAGTTTGGAGGAAGTATTACATGGTATTACAGTCATACAGATTAACTTTTCAGCATAGATATATTAAGCATCTTGAAAGCAAAACTTCATGCTGTTTACTGGATTCTGGTTGAAGGGTTTTTTGAGACTAAGACTTAAGTACCTAATGAGCCTTCCATAGTTTTGAGGCATTTAAGGACTTTGGGTTAGTTTTCATAACTAGAAGCATAAGAGTATTTCAATAAGCCACTGGATTAAGAAACCAAAACATTTTTGAAACAACAGATCATCATCTCTAAGGACCTAAAAGGAGAACACCTTGAAAGTCAAACAACAAAACCCCTACAACCCACAGATATGCTTAGTAAAAAAAAAGGCTACATACATCATGATGTTTCCAGAGTGACTTTCTGTGGGAGACAGTGAAGAGAGTGATGCCAACCTACATGAAGAAAATACACACAATAAAGCAGTTAATTTGTGTCATGGGTTAGGTGTTGGTTATTTGTCAGCATCAGCTGAAGAGCTTACATTCATAAACACAAACTTCCAGACCCTATTATTAACAGTATACATATCCAGTCTTCGTATACAATTTTGCAGTTGAATAAATAAATTGAAAAGCAGGAGGGATTTCTCTTTTTTAATTGATTTCACCGTTCTTTTGCTCCTAATCATTTGGCAAAACATACACTGGGCAAAGGAGGCAAGGTAGGAGGTGGGTAAACCAACAAACCTGGTGATTAAAAGAAGTGCGCTTTAACAGCAAAAACACCCCAAACCACAAAAGCTATTAATACATTCTAAAGTAACATCTTAAAGGTGAACAATCTTCCTTAGTTTCCTTGCAACTCATCTGATTATGCATCCCTAACAGCAGTACCAATTAAAAGCCAAAATGGCTCTGATGGTAAAGCAGGGTAGCTTTTTTTTTTTACTGCAAGGACAGCTTAACTGGGAATTCTATTTCCAGGAACATGTACTAGCCACTTGACAACAGGAACTGTAAGCCACAAATGAACATTCAAATTAACAGAATAACAAGTATATACAAAACAGACATAGAAAGTTGTCAGGGTATTGGTATTAATGTGGTAAATTAAGAAATGGTATCCATTCTTCTGCAGAGTCCTCACCAGTGCGAATTTACTACCACAGAAGGCTCCTTAAGTTCCCACTTCAAGTTTCAAGCACATATTTCAGTGGAAGCACAGGTTTGCTCCATTACCATTCTGTGAATATTGCTGCTGAACAGTTAATGTTATTTCAAGTCCATTATTTCCTAGGCTGAGGGGGTGAAATTGAATTCTATTAATATTTCACATTGTACTACAAAGAATCTGAAATGGTGAGTTTGAGAAAGAAAGAAAGAAAGAAAAAAAAATAGATTCAATATCATGTTTTCCTAGAGTGCTTGGCTTTTCATATCTCAAAACAGATGGAAATGCTAATTTCCACCCCCTCATTTTGATGTCCTGGCCAACAGAGGGCTCTTGAACAACAAAAGAGTATAAAACCTTAGATTATTTGACCTTCACTTGACATTTTAAGAGTTTATCTGGAGTAGTAAGGTTACTTAGCAGTTAGTAAGAGTTCTCTGATATACAGAGGCCACATGTACCTCTAAATTATCCTAAGGCTAGAAAACAATTACTGAATTCTAGTGTGCATAAAGGGTCCTTGCATGCCCTTCTAAACTTCTGGGTGCCTTTTAGCATTTTAGGTTTCCTTTTAACACGCAGAGATAGAATTCTAGCAACAAAGAGCTTACCTTCCGGCAGTGGCTGTAAATGTAGCCTTCTACATCAACACTAACAGCACTGGTGCATTCATCCAGAATTGCAAACTGGGGCTTATGATAGAATAACCTTGCCATCTGCAATGCAAACCAAAAGGTTACTGTGGATATAGCACTACAACCAAGGCAGTGTTACAAGTGAAACTACGACTTAGTGTCCAAAAATTTACTGTGGCAAGGGAATTTCCTTTAGGTTGGCACCCACTGGTGAACATCTGTTTATATAATCAAAGTGTAATGGGTGATAAAAGGTCAATATTTCCTACTAATTTTTTTATATATAAACAACACTATTTTAGCTTGGTTTCTCCCCCCCCCCCCCCCCCCAGTATGCAGGTATTTCGTATTTTGAGGATTCCTTTTAAGGAAAATAGTAATATTTAGTTAAACAGGAATTGCTTACAATTTAGGTTACAGTTTTGACCAGGTCCTGTATTTGTTAAGTATTTACACTTTTGAGACACAGAATCATAGACACATACTGCCATCCTCTGCTTCTCTCCCCCGCTGAGTACATCCATCCAATCCTGAACAATATCCCAGCCTCCTTCACGTTCCAAGATGTGACCCAGCTGGACATTATCCAAATACTCCTTCAGCACCTTTTAATGAAACAGAAATCACAAATAGAGCTTAAGTGAACTTAAAGAAATGACTGAAGAAGGTTATAAAGGGTTATACTATTACACCGGTGTACTATCAACCCTGATAAACATTAAACAAAATGCAGTGGGTTTAACAGCAGTTTCAGTATTTTTAAATCTGAAACATTACACATCTTAAGCAAGAGAAAGGGATAATGAAGGAATTATTATTACCTGGTCAGAAATACCTTTCTTTCTCTGATCTTCTAAAGTATCTGGATATATAACTTGATCTCTGAGTGTTCCAAGAGTCATATATGGTCTCTGAGATACAGATAGAAACAAAAATGTAGGTCAAATATTTCTAAGCATAGCCAAAGTAGGAAGAAAAACTAAATGCTTTGCCTCACCTGGGGAACATAGAACAACTTTCCTCTTACAGGCTTTGTTAAACGCCCACCAAACAAAGGCCACAACTGCAACAAGAAAAAGGTTTAAACTTGACTGAAAAAAGTCCAATTACAACAGTGCTTTAGAGTCTCTGCTGTTCATTTTCACAAGTTCCCTTACCTCACCAAGAACACGGAACAGTGAGCTCTTCCCACATCCATTTGGTCCACAAATCAACACATTTGCACCAGATCGAACCTAAAAATGCAAAGCCAACACATTAGAAGTGTAGTGATGAAGTACTGGTAAAACCTTTTGCAAACACTAAGACGAGCTTGTATTCTTGTAGGCTTGTGCATAGTGCCTTCTGACACTACAAGGACTGATTTCCAGTAATCATGTAGTTTTTGTCTTTTACAACTGGTCTAGCACCAACTGCAGCTGGGAAAAACATACTTGTAACAATGAAAACACTTCTGGGCAAATAGCTCATTGCCTTTTTATTTTCTCATTTGGAACTAAAATGAGGATTACTTTTGTTCCCATTTAAGCATACCATATAAGCACCTCTCTAGCTTTGATTATACATGTATTTATAAATCAGATTACCTCTGAAATTATCATCTCCCCTTTAAAACTTCAGATGAATATCATTTTCTATGATATTAAGAAACTTACCTCAAAGTTAAGGTCTTGAATCAAAACATCTCCATTAGGTGTCACCAACGGAACATGATCAAACCTGTGTTGCAACGTTTAAAATAAAAGGCGATTAACAGCTAAGGAAGTTCTTGAACCACAAGTGGTACCTTAGTGTTTAACAACTATCTATAGTTTGTTGGTAGTTTTTTTGTCTTCACATATTTGCTTTCTGAATCCTTCAAAGTCTTTGGTCTCCAAAACACCTTGTGGATAAAAACCTACATTTAAAGACGCTCTTCATTTTAAACCTGGTAGTGGAAGTTTAGTCCATTAGTTCCAGGATACACAATGAATGATTCTCTGCTCTCCCCCCCCCTTGTTTTTGTTTGCTTCTTTTTCCCCCTCAATAAAATAATAAAAGTAACTCTACCATCTCCTTTCTCCTCTCACTCCCCTCCACTCCACCACATTGTCCAGATTGAGGCTATTTCATCTATTACCTGGCTTTACTCCATGTCTTCAGGTAGTATTATTATGTCAATACTGTGACCCTCAAACTGCAAAAAACTGAGGAACTGATTGCTACTTGAGTACATCAGTGAAGGGTCCAAGCATGCAGATATACAAACTGACTTGCCCCTGCATTTTACTGCTAATTTATATCATGGAATAAAATCCGTAACCAACTTTTTTCTAAGAAGAAGTTTGATAACGTGTCAACAAAAAGGTCTGGGAAGTCATATTCCAAAGGACAGCTGGAAATATTAGTACATAGGCTATGCCCAGACAGCATGTCTTCTGCTAAGGTGGGAGGACAAGGACTGATTTACACAACAGAAATGCTGACAGGGAGTGAGGCAGAATTATATGTAAACAACTATAGCACAACTGGAGCTGTGCTATTATTGTAATAATGTGTATTAAAAACTCCGTTAACAGAAGCAGAGGGAATGACTTATGTCTTTCCAGGCTAAGTTAAAAATACTGAAGTTGTGCAAACTTTGTAAACATACTTGATAAGGTTATCGGTGTTGATAATTTCTCCAGATCCAGGTATCAAAGGCAAAGCTGGCTTTTTATCTGTATCTTAAAGTAAGAAGAAAGTGTTAGACACCGGAACACTACGGAGAGATGTTAGACACCGGAACACTACGGGATTATGTCATATCTACCTTTTTCCTGTGCTACCATGGTACGCTGATATTTGCCACCATTTAAGTCCTTCAGAACCTGCATTAATTCTGTAATTCGAGCTGTGAAACTAAAAACAAACCACAGAAAACCCATAAAATTAACCGTAATTAATCTTTAGAAGTTTCAGAAATCAACAGTAACTCTAATGAGTACAACTATCAAACTGACAAAGTTATTCAACCCAGCACAGAAACAGAACTTTAACATTCGAGTTGCACTGAGGTTGTCCAATATTCACAATACTTTCAAGAACCTTTTTCTGTAATAGGCAAGTATTTGGTAACTTTTCTTCTCAGATGTTGTTTCAATTAAACATTCAAATGTATGCTGCTACTGTTCAGATACGAAATTACTAGTGGACATAATTATCACACCTTCAGATTTGTTTTCAGCATCAAATATTTTTAACCCCTAGATTTCTAGGGTGCTGCAGTGAACAAATCACACAAAACCATTTTAATTCTAAGTCAGTTTCTTGAAATGAGAAGAAAACCAGCAACAACATAACTTTTAGAAAGAAGACTTGACACAACTATGTATGAAGCTTACCCAGCCAATCTTGTCATTTCACGGCCTGCTAGGACTATTCTGCCCAAGGCTTGAGACATTCTCAGTAACATTCGTCCACTTTGGTAGTAATCCTAAAGTAGAAGAACGTTTCTTTATGTAGACTAACAGAATTTAGATTCAGGAAATGGTTTTAATTCTGCTGTACTTACCTCCAAAAGTTCTGCATGAGTACTGTTCTGGTGACGAGGATCAGCCAGGTTCAGAAACGGGCGACTAACAACCAGGTAACCAACCACAGTGGCAAGGTCTGAAGTTTAAGAGTAAATATTAAGCTACACATTAATTAATGCAATAAGAGAAAAAGATTTCTCATTTTAAAATTTGAACACTTTGTTATTTATAGCAATCCATTAGCACTGGATAAACACTTACATTTGGCAATGATGGTATCAATGAAACCCATTGAGAACCTGAACAGGATGAAATTATGCAAGTGTTCCACCTGGTAAGTTACAGAAGAAACAAGGTCAAGTTAGATCAGTACAGTTTTTATTAACTTTTATTATTTTACAGACATTTGATTCCCAACAATTATTTTTCCCTAAGTCACAGATACCTCAACACACCTAGAACAATGACAAGCACTGTACAAGTGTCTCTGCTTGCAAAGACCTGCTCTCCAACACAACCTACACTTGAAATTGAGCAGCGAAAGAATAGTTTTTGTAGTGAAAAGGGTAAAAAGGAGGTAAGTGGCAAGAGAAAGATCATTTTATCAGAAACCTGGCTTCTGCTTACAGCCTACTCATTTTTAAATCTAATGACTGTAGCAGCATAAGCATCAAGCCACTAGAATTCAATTTATACTAAAATATGTCAAGGATCACCATCATAAAATTAATTGAAGTTTTGCTTAAAATGTTTTAAAAGAGGTTTTACCAGTTTACGGAAGGTTTTGTGAATAGTCTGTTTTTCTCTCAAGTTTCCATTATAAAAAGCAATTTCTTCACTAAAAGAAAAAAAGAAAAACAACTTTTTAACATCTGTCTTTGAAGAAGTCAGCCATAAAACACAGGAACATATCTCTTGTTTCAGTCACTTTAGAAAATAAGGAGTCTGTACATTTTCACAACAGTAGAATATAAGCTTTTTATACTCCAGCTACAGTTTGTCGTTTGAATCAGGAATATAATGCACATATAAGTTAGTTAAAAATAATCCTCATAAAAGATGCACTTTGCTCTGAACCGATAGCATTAGAATTTCCAAAAACATGTTAACATACAGCTTCTCCATGCATACCACAGCATTACTTTGTCACTTTTATTGTGCCACCCAAGTAAATCTATACCTGTTTGTAATAAGCCGCGAGTTGACGTATCTGTACTCCCCTTCATATTTCTGCTCTATAACAGTCATCTTGCCAATCGGTCGTCTTAACCGGGTAAGGAAGAACCCCGAAATAATCAAGTAAGCCATCATGCTAGCTGGACCCTGTGAACATCAAACCAGAAGAAAAGCTTACCATCTAGATGATCTCAAATCGTAACATCTAACACAAAATGCTCAGAAAGCATGAATCCCTGGATTCTCACCTTCGTGTCTATGTTACCACTTCAGTTACCCTTGAAATTCCCACCATGTTCCTTTCATGTTGTGGATAATATTTAATAATTTTACCAATTCTCTGTCCCTAGATGCCCTTCCCATCCCAGCCTTCTACTCAAGTTCTATGCCACCTGTGTGTCCTATTGTCCTAGCTTATTTCACTATGAATTTCCTTGTCCTTTCTCATTTCCTCTCCTTCATTTCTACCTACTTCATTTTCTCTGTATTTGCTACATTGTCGTAGCAGTCAATATTTCAATTCCATTTTCTTCTTTGATCCATACGTCTCCCAACACACTCTCTTCTCTCAAGCAGTCCTTGTGGGGAACTCTTATTCTTCTGCATCCTAAGATTCAATAGACCAGGGCTCTCAAACAGCATGCTTAAATACTATTGAAGTATGGCACAGTATAAAACCAAAGGCACAAACTGAATTCGGCATAAACTGTCTGTAATAACTAAATACTTCAGTGAGCAATGCTAAGAGACTACACGAACTACCTAGATTCAGCTAAGCTTTACACTGCAGTCTGTTCCAACAAAATCTTGTGTCCCAGAAACAATTCTTGTCAAACCCTGAACATTTCTGATACTGCATTGTTTTATTAAGATGAAGATTTATGAAATTATTCAGTTTATGGTGGAGGAAATATAATGGTCATACATATGAATGCAAGGAACGACTCCTTTATAGAGGCTGCAATGAAACAGAAAACTTATTTTGTCCATTAAATGGAAGCCATGCAAGATACAGCAGCCAGAAGGGTACCCTACTAAATACGATTCCCAAGTAACTGCCAGAAGAAAATAAAGACTTTTCTTGTTTCTTCAAACTGTTGGTGGAATTCCTGCATGCTGTTTTTATTTTGCTTGCCTCAAGATAAGAGAGTACTAAAGCATATAAAACATGAAGTGTGAAAGCATAGTTTCAGTATAACCCTTCAAATTACGGCTGAACCTACAATGTTAATGTAGATTTTTCCTAAGGCTCAACAGGTACAAGGGCTATAACTAAAGAAAAGAACATTTTCTTATAATGCTAAAAAACCCACTCAATTTACCTGAGCTCCTATTGCACTTGTTAGCTTGAAGATATACAAAACTATATCCAAGAAAGGCTATAAAGAGAAGCAGAGGAGAAAAGGCATTAGAACACCAACATAAACAAAACTAGCCCAGAAACCACCAACCACCCCAGTAACAGTTATAGCTCTACATTAAAAGCACAATAATGTTTAACTTATACAAACTAAATCTATTAAAACAAAAAGAATCCTAGCCCCATGACATGCTCCTGAAAACATTCACTCAAGAATTGAAAATAAATTCATTGTATCTTCAGATAAAGTACACAAGAGTACTTCACTATTTGAGGTCTGTAATAACACTGCTCATGAAGTAAAGTTGGACTAGACCCTATGGTACTTAACTGAAATAACTGAGGAATACTGAGCAGAAGGATAATGTCATATAGTTGCCTATGTACCTAATACAAGCAACTTTCCAATTTGCAAGCATCCTATTCCATACACTCCCTCTCAAAGCTAGAGCAGCTGAACTACAGGTTTTGCATGCAGAATTTCTGAATGCATTGACTTGTATTTTGTTTTATACTTCGGCTTGAATGAACAAAACAGCATCAAAAAAACCCAACCCAAACCTAGTTTAAAAATGTTAAGAGTATCCTACTTCACTACCTAAAACCCCTAAAATTTACACTACAGAGTGAAAAGTTTATTCAACGACACCTCCCTATCCAAAAGAATATTCTTATATAACTAAAAGATAGCCACTGATTTTTTTTTCTGAAGCCTAACTAGCTGAGAAAGGGTACTCATCATTGTTCAACTGCAAAACAATGTGCCAAGTTCTTTAAAAGGAAATTTAATACAAATTGGAAAAAACCCACAGCTGTTCTTTAACAGAGGTCATGGAAACCACACTGTGAAATGATATAATATCATGAACAGGGTTTTTAGCACCATACTCCAAGAAATACACATACCAAAGCAAATAATTGTTTTGAGCTCTGACATCACATCCTAAACATCCACAGCTATCCCTCAAAGTTCTATCTGGATAAACTTACCTTGCTCAGGTTTGAATACAGGTCCACTACACTGTTACAGAACTTTTCCACATCCTGTGTAAGGAGCTGATCTGGATTAGCTATTCTGTTGTCCAGATTTCCCATTTTGTAGTACGTATAAGATCTGACATAAAACAAGGCAGAAAAAAAAATAAAAACCATTTCTTGGGATCTGAAATAATTGGAACCCCCTGCTTCAAACAACCAAGACAGAAAGTAGTGCAAATGTTAAATGGCTGCATGGAGTCAACATAAATTGTGTTTCTGCCTGACCAGACCCATACTAAATCCTGTAGAACTGCTTAGGCTCCGAAAACATCTTAGTTGAAGCTCAGGCTGCTCTATGCACTGCTGCTGCACTTACAGCTACAAAACTCTCACAAACTCTGCATCGCACACCCAACAACCAAAATTCAGTGCAGAAGGATATAAGCAGCCACTCAGTTTCATGCATCCAAGTTAATCTGCAGGATTATTACCACTGTATGAAAGCAACTTAAGTACTTTGGAAGCTGATCCACTAGTGGAAGCAGCAGGATTTCACCACCCACCACTCCCCCAAGTTGAGACAACTTTGCTATCTTTCTATCTGTGCCATCTACAACCTGGATAAGTCACTCATCCTTAACTGCAAGGTAATTGCAACCAAAACCCTTTTCTAAACAGTATACCTGCCCTATAAAACATCTTGTTACCTTCTTACTATGTACTTAAAATAACCTGGTTTAATGTTAATCAATTTAGTTCTTAAAACCTTTAGACATTAACAAGGTGTTACTTACTTAAGATATTCCTCATAGAGGTATCTGGTAAGTCTTACTCGGAAGCAAAGTTTCAATTCATTCAGACCATACTTCAGGAAGCTATTCACTAAAGAGATCTAAAAATAAGAGACAGCATTTCAGTATTTACCTAACAACATTTAATATACTTAGACCAGTTTGCAGTATAAATAGTGCAAACACTTTAGAACAGCTGAATATTCCCCTTGAAGTCAGTAATACTATTAACACACTGAAGACCAACCATGTGGCATGTGCAGGACCTCTGATTAGGTTCCAGTCTACATTACTGAAAACTAAAGTATATCTTGAGCTCTTCTGATATGTTCTAGAAAAGAGCCACCATTTGACAACTACTACTTTACATTTATCAATCTGCTTCTAAATCTATTGTAAAGGAGGTACAATATCTATTAGGTAGTAACAAGTACATCTGCTGCAGGTCAGAGATGTTGACAAGCTGAAAAGAAATTAAAGGGAGAGGGAAAAACATAACAAACCTTGGAAAAAGCTGTAAGAAATCTAAAAAATAAGGACTAGAAAGAAAACTTCATCTTCAGTGGTGTCAAAATAATCTCAAACCTACAATGCTGAAACATCATCTAAGCCATAAGACATTATGCAGGCCTGCAGGTGGCATGTTAAGCTATAAAAGTTACTATCAACAAAAATATCATAAAACCCTAAATATATCTGTCAGAAAAATAGCTGCAACCAATAAGGAAACATGCTGATGAAGTCCCCCCACTGACACCAAAAATTTAAATACAGACCTGCACATAAAATAGCTAATTTGTATGGGTATTAGACTACTTATTTGAAAGCTTATCCTCAAATTCTGAATTTGCATTTAAAATACGTTCTGCTTAAAGGCTGGCACAAGAAAAGCACTTACAGCAGGCATTGCAGCGATGAAGTTGAACAAGTATTTCTTGAAATCTTTTCTGCTGCGCCCAATGATAGCACTGAAAACAACCATCAGCTAAGAGTTAGTCACAGGAGAAACAAGAAAGTATAAATTATAGTATGTCTTAAGTGGATAAATTCTCAGTGGACCACACAGAGAAAACAAAAATCACTGTGGAAATCTGTAGTATCACAGCTGTAGGATTAAATACGACAGACTTCTGCACATGGGAAGTGACAGACTAAGCAACTATCTTCTAATCCCGCAGTAACCGCCTGCATTAAAGGCTTGGAAATTCATGGGCATAGAATACCAGTTCCTTTCCTTCTTTGCTTTCATGGATTCTTATCAGAGAAACAAAGCAGTCCTTCAATTCCACACAGCACTGAAAACTTTTCCTGAAATAGAGTAACATTTTGAATTCACATTTCAAGACAGATTCTGACTTGCTTCAATCAGAAGTCTAGAAAATCAGAAGTCTAGAAAATACTTTCTAAAACAGAAAGACTGAAAACATTGTGTTTATCAATCTAAAGAGCAAGCAGCTCAGTAGGAAGAAGTAACAGTCCTAATATCCAAGCAAGGTGTCTGAGTCTATGACATAGAACTACTGTGCCACTATCCTAAAGTGCCTTCTTGGCTGTTCAGATAACGATTTAGTCTTAAATGTACAAAATGTGACCAAAAGAACTGAAAATCATTTAATAAGAAAATTTTGGTTAAAACTAATAGTAAAATTTTATCCAACAGCAGAAAAACAGGTGACTAAATGTATTTCTTAAAAAAAAAAAAAAAAAGAAAAACAAGTTTCTAGATACCTTTCAATGACTGTTCCATTTTGAATCATCCAAATATCACAATAGGTGCGGACTACCAGCATCACAGCAATAAGCAGCAAATAACCTGTCTAGTACAAAAAACAGAAGTGTAACACTTAAATAAGGGATAATATTCACCACTTTTTCCTATTAAGTGGTCTAACCATATCTAGCAGAAAAGTATTACCTTGCTGCTTCCAACTAATGTAGTATTTGCTAACTTTGCAGGAAACACATTACTATATACTGTACAATATATTTGATAAAATACTGGTTACATTTTTATGGAGAAGGTTTGTCTTTTAAAAAGCTGTATTTGGTTGATGCACACATTGGACACATCCTATAAGTACTGCAGGGACAAAGAAGTTATTGCTATTCTGAGACACCTTTCTGCCATAAGCACAGGTTGCAAGGGACCCCTGAAGGTCACCCTACTTCAACTCCCCACTCAAACAGGGCCACTAGTAACCAGTTATCACTCAGACGTTGTACCACTGATGAAAAACCTTGAAGTCCACAGTCCAACCAGTTTTCCATCCACCTCATTCTCCGCTCATCTAGACAATTTGGTTTGGCTATCAGGGCAGTAGGTGAAACCCTTAGTCTCAAAGCCTTGCTGAAATCAAAAATCAAAGCATTCAACATTCTCTGTTCTAACCTTATGAGCATGGCCAGTCATCTCATCACTGAAGGCAATCAGGTTAGTAAGGCATGATCCATAAATCCAGGCTGGCTGTTCACAATCACCTTTTTGTCCTTCATGTGGCCAGAGTTAGCTTCCAAGAGGATTTGATCACAGCATGACCAAGCACACTTCGAGGCTGACCAGCCTGCAGCTTCCAGTATGTTTGTTTTCAAAGATGGAAGTGATGTTTGTTTTATGGGGGGATTATCAATAACCTCTTCTGAAGGCCATGACCTTTTGATCCTGGTTGAGGCCAGCTCTGTCAGCACTCTCAGAAGAATTAGAGAACATTGCCATCCATGCTTCTACCTTATGCATACTTCCTGTTTGCAAACAGGCTGTCAAAGATCCCTTTTCATCCAGGCTAGCCAGCTGCCATGCTTGCTATACATTGTGTACACTGGAATTCACTGCTTTGTGCCTGATGTACATTGAAGTTCTAATATATTGCAATTCATCATTTAGGTTCTGAGCTCAACTAATACTCCTTTGAAAAAGGCATTCTAGAAAGCATGGGGAAGATGCCAAAGCAAGTTATTTTACCTTGCTAAAATTTAGTTTGCATAGCTTTCCTGAAATGATGTTGAAAGATTTTTGGACAAAGTCGCTTTCCAATAAGGGCTGGCCTAGATACAAGTTAAAAAAGCCAAAATCTGGATCAACAGCATGCTATTTAAAGATAGGAAACATGTGCACACAGAAGTGTACTGCCTTGCATGGAACCAAGCAAAGCTCCAATGCCCTTTTAAAAGATACGCAGACAGCAGTTACTAGCTCACTGTAAATGGCTTATCTTGTAATGGAAAACAGAATGCAAATTTGTACTGATCTAACAACTGAACTATAGATTTTTATATTAATAAGTTGCTACTGTAAAACATTTAGTATCATTTAGTCTTATTCAAGTAATGTATATGCTTTTGTTTAAATGCTGATCTAACTACAAAAGAAAATGTGACTCCAAAAATGCCCATTTGTATTTGTTACTGCAGGCAATGCTTACCTCTTTACAAAGAGTTCGAGGGACCATTATTTTCAGGATTCGACATATTCTTGCAATAAACACTCTGTCCACCACTGCTCGCTCCTTCTTTCCCTCTTTCTGCTGCACATCAAATAAGCAAAACAAGAAAAATTAGGTTCTTCTGTAAGGTATTATTTAAATGTGATTGTGATATTTTCCCTATCCAAGTTATTTACAGCTACGTTCCTTATGCAGCGTTTGCAGCGTTTCCCTCCAATTTAAGACCTCCTCACACAAGTTGAATGAAATACAAGAATCAGGGGCATATGCCTTCAGAGCTAAAAGAATCCTAAATAACTGATATAGTCTAACAAAACAAATTCCAGTAAGTTGCTGTTGCAATACTAAAGAATATATTTCAAATCTACACTAAAAGGGATAAACAAACAATGTAGACCACAACATTAAAACATCCAATTATAACTTATAATGGCATCTGCATCTCCTAACATTGGTCTCTTCTAGAGACAAGCGTCAGCCAAAGATGCCTTCCATCATTTGTCCAGACCATCACTGGTTTAAATCCCTTGACTGTACAGCTTAAACTTGCTTTGAGTGAAACCAGAATGTGGTATTCCTTTACTTCTAAAAACCAGTGCAACACCCTTCTAGTGATCCATATCTATACACTCAAAAACCCTCAGGTAGCCAAACAGCTGTGATTTAGGTCAGATGCATTTGCTTACTCTATATAACCCTATCTTCTACCCTGACTAACCTCAACGCTTTTTTAACAAGTCCAGGTATCTTTTCTTTCTTTCCTTTGTTTTCAGTTTTCCCCTTCACAGTTGGAACATAAGAATTCAGTCCTGAAAGCAGACTAAAAAGGTACACATGTGCTTAAAACAAGTCCTGTCTGATCAACTTAATCCTGCTATCTTTGCTAACCAAGCCTCATGTGAAGGATGATTAAACCACAGAAATGTGCAAAAATGCCCAGCTTAATCTCTTTCCTTGCTGTTTACATATACTGTGTGATGGGCAACAAGTGGAAAGCTCTGAGCTCTAGCAAACACAAATTTACTCTGAGTAGGAATAAGCCTACAGCTATTTTTTCATGGGATTAAGACAACTCTAGTCCTGCCCTTTTCAAAAAATGATGTGAATGCCAACTTTAGATAAAAATTCCAGCCAGATAGGATATTATACAGTAGATAAAATTATTTTCATTAAAAAATATTTATCCAAAATTTCAAGCAATCCCAACAACTAAAGATTACCTTCCAGGCCTAATGATGCATTACCCTACACGTTATTGCTTTACTGTAATAGAACCGACAAACACAGTGGCTTTCCCAAAGTTTTCCTGAGACTGTTAATTCCTCATTCAGAAAAAATTATATCTAAGATGGGCAGGAATAAGAGAAAGCTGCTTGAGATTTCTACAAATAGGTATATAACTACGCAAAATACAAGTGTTTATGGCATATAGTGCAGTCAAGGTCTGGCTAGAAGTGAACATGATGCTTGCATACACCTTTATCCAGTGCAAGCCTTATGTTTTCAGCTAAGATGGAGGTATGTGGAATAGTTATCTATTCATGCCATCATATGACCAAATATCTTAACTCATGGGCTCTGCCCTTTGGGGTAATTTTTGTATTTTATTTGAACATGGAACAAAAAGCTTGACTTAAAGGGCTATAATATAACCTTTCCAAATAAATTGTCACACAAAAGAACAGGGAAATGCCAAACCTCCTATCAGAAGTTTGTAGTATTTTACAGAAATTATCAGACTCTACATCTTGTTCCACACTTTCTTTTAAAGAAAAACCAAATACAAGTCATACCAAACCTACAGACAGCTGTTTCACAGTATCACCGTATGTTAGAGATTGGAAGGGACCTCAAAAGATCTAGCCCAATCCCCCTGCCGGAGCAGGAACACCTAGATAAGGTTACACAGGAACGTGTCCAGGCGGGTTTTGAATGTCTCCAGAGAAGGAGTTTGTTGCCAAGGACTATATTAGTCCTTAAATAAGGCACAAAGATGAAAAAGCACATGGTACACATCAAGTGCATACCATCATGCAATCAAACTTCAACTACATGTGGTTGACCTGATTCTTCCATTTGTTTAACCAATGCAAGAAGTCTTAAAGTATCATTCAAACCACATCTGCACCACAGCCATCATTCTGTCCAAAATAAAACTACAATTACGTGACTTAAAAAAAACCACAGTATTGTTAAAAATATATTACGTGAAGAAATAATTTACCTCATTATTCTGCAATGCTTGTTTTCCACTTCTTTTACTGCAGAGGAAAAAAGAAAGTATTTTACTTGTTATTAATGCACTTCTCTGTGTTGATCTCTACACAGAAGAGACAAAAAGGAGAGACTGGGATTTTATCCCTTTCTTTCAAAGCAGTCCAGCATCTTCACAGCAGGGCTACCTTCTATGTCAAACTCATATTCTGGTTTTATGCAACTTCAGGAGACCCGACTTCTTCGAGCATTCAGTTTCACATACCGTAAATACATCGTGCTCTTTCACCTCCAAGTTTTGCTTTGCCTTGGCTTATGTATCATGAACTCCTTGTGGTTTTATGTTTCTCACATAGACGTTGCAAGCATGGCTACATGGTTCCACTGACCACAAATGAAAACTGCATGAATGCAGATTCGGCAGTCCAAGCAACCCAACTTTGATGTTTTGCACTACCTGCTTAAGCCAGACAGATCTGTTTTGCATTATATTTAACTTCCAAATAACATTTTACTACATATAAAGATTATATGTAGTAAAATATGCTGGGGGGGGGGAGTAAAGTCAGATCCTATGAAACCAAGTTCATGCAAGGGTGTGCATCGGAAGTGGAGCTAGTTTTCATTCTGTCCTTTCCTTCCCTAGCATTTTACAGAACAGGTAGAAGAAAAATATCTACTGCTAAACAAACATTTCAAACTACAATGCTATTCTTTTGTCCTCTCCTTTTAAGAAAGGCAAGCTGATATATGAAACACTTCGTTTGTCTGTCTTCCTTTCTGACCATTCAAGCATCAGACAAGCACATGAAGCTGTAAGGAGAGCTTATGAATTTATGTAGTTGAAAAGTGACAGCTAACCACATTAAATTGTAACCTTCCATTTCTCAATCATCGTAATGTAACACTGAGAATAGGCTGCCTTCAGCCTACGATGTTCATATGCTTTCAAGACAGCACCTAGGCAATTACAGGGAAGCAGAAACCATGTAAGACACTGCTCCTTCTGCCTTCAACATCAAAACAACAGCAGACTGCCACCCAACCAGTTATCCTGCAACTTTATCAGCAGCATCATTTCACACTTGTACATTAAATCTTGGCAAAGAAAATACCTAGGAAGAAACCATGCCTATTTTCATTTATGATCATTAGAAAGATCTGTGACTGTTACTGATCAGTGAAGAGAAATAACTCAATTATGGAAGAAATAGGCAAGGTATCAGAAGAATATGAGAAAAGAAGGGAAGGAGGAGACCAAGAAAGTGAGAAGGGAGAGATGCCAGTTTAGCAAGAAGTTAATTACAGGTAATGAAGAAGAGGGAAGCCTGAGAGGAGATAAAAATCTTGTAAGACTACTTGTGTGAAAGACAAAACAAAGACCATGAAGGGCAGCAGAGAGCAGACTGGTGAGAAATGCCTTAATAGAAGCTCAGAAGAGATACAACACTTAATCAGGCAATGACGGAAGTATGTCTGCAGAAGTGCGAACAGTGTGCAAGGTCTAAGAAACAATGCAGTTGGAGACTACATCCTGGCCATGCAGGAGCAATGTATTGCTGGCAAAAGAAACTTCTCAATACACACGTTGCAATTTTTCAAAGTACAAAAACCTGGCATATTTTGGAAGTGTCCTTGAGTATGGATCAGTCCAACGACATTTGTTTTGGAACTAGGAGAAAAGGAGTCTTCTTAAGTGTAAGTTGTTATGAAGCAAGGGGGGTAATTCCCATGGCGATTTATAACTTGCTGTAATGCAGAATCAAAGTATGCTGCTCTTCCAGATATGATGCAATAATTCCTGGCTTTGATGCTTCAAGGCCTGACAATGTTTGAAGTTACAACACTTGTAATACACAATCATTTCAGCACTGAAAGGATCATAAGTGAGTATGTTCAAATAGTAATATATTAAGAAGATGAGGCCCAAAATTACTCTGACAGGTGAATACCCTTGATGTATTTATTGATCCTTTTTTTTCCTGAAGTAGGCCTATTGAGAGAAATTCAGCAGCTGGAACTACTGAGCTGAAACTGATTATCCATTAAAGTGAAAGGACTGTTCAGAAATGTGATATTATACTTAATTGTGAACTCCCACTCAATTAGAATTTATATTTATAAAGGTTTAAAGTATTTGTAAAATCAAAACCTAATGAAAAAGAGCTTTAAGTGTTTTGTTCTACTTTTCTAAAATAAATAAATAAATAAATCAAAACAAGACTATAGTTCAATAAGAAAGGAGACAATGCTATATATGAAGTCTGGATTATCTAGAAGCAGAGAAACCAATGTGGCTACACAGCTACAAACACATTGCTCTTGTTACTAAAAATAAATAAATCCCTTTTTATTTTAACAAGTAAAACCATTTTACTTGCAACAAAAGACTGTGCCACAGTTCTGCCTGGAGTAAAACTTCCACAGAACTTTTCCTCCCCAAGGGCCTCATTTTTTTCAGTCCAATACCTGCTGGCACTACTCCAGACTCCATTATACTCTCATAGATTTATCTTTGTGAGAATTGTGGTTGCATTCACATTGAATTTAAAGCCTAAATAACACCTTCAATTAGTCAGCAAGAATACATCAAGATTATCTGGTTACAGCAGAGAACTCTCACTTTGCTATATTCAAGCTCCCTGTTAGAGACCTCTCATTTGCTTAATGCTGGAGCATCACAAGCCTTATTGTGAAGGAAGGCAATTGCTACATGCTGTCCAAATTCTCTATTGCAAGTAATTCCTCTGGCATAGGGGCCCTTGTCAAGCAGCACAACATAAGGACTGCTTGGAATAGAAACACAAAGCTGCCTTTTTCTGCAGTATCAACTTTAGAGATTACCCTATCCACACATATCACTTTCCAGTTTGGGTTGAACTGTGCTTTTTATTATGACAGGAGTGACCTGAAGCTCAAATGCTACTAATGCTTGACCTGGTGCTGTGGTAGGGTAACACGTATGACACAGCTCAGGTTAGTACAGTTCATCACATGCTTATTCGATCAAGATTATTACAATTCAGGCAGCTACCATGAAACTGCAGAAAAGCTCTTCTTTTGATCTTTACTGTAGTTCCTCTCACTTCATCACAAGATACTCATGATGAAACTCTTCCCTGAGTGTATGTATTGAGACTGAAGCTGAGCTGGCTGGGGCAATGCAAGATCCCAAGGTAAAAACAACTTCCAGACAGTCTGAATGGGAGCAGCAGTGATGCGGAACATGCCCCATATGGAACCCATCTATATTGTTCTCTACCTTGAAGTCAGAACTGTGCAGTGATTGTTGACCATTCATTTCTCCCCTTCTATATCAGAAAGTCCTGAGATATTTCTCTTGCCCTTCTCTGCATTTGGATTCTTTTTTTACTTTCAGCCATCAGTTCTTCATGGGTATTAGATTTTAGAAAAAAAAATTCAGTAATTACAGTTACTAAGAGAATATATGACCTTGCTTCAGGTGATCAAAACAAGGTACGGTGACAAAATAAGACTACAAGAACAAGCATGGCAAGAAAAAAAGCATGGCATACACCATAAAGCCATCTAATCCAGGAAAATAATTCATGACATTTTTGAATTTATGAATGCCTAAGTGCAGCTTAAAAATTATGTGATTCTAAACTGAATCACTGTCCTGGTTTCAGCTGGGATAGAGTTAATTCTCCTCCTAGTACCTCGTGCAGTGCTGTGGTTTGGCTTTAGTCTGAAAACAATGTTGATAACACATCAGTGTTTCAGTTGTTGCTCAGTGATGCTTACCCTGATCAAGGACTTTTCAGTCTCACGCTGTGCTAGTGAGGAGGGGCACAAGAAGCTGGGAGGAAGTAGAGGCAGGACACCTGATCCAAACTAGCCAAAGGGTATTCCATATCACAGCATGTCATACCCAATACAGAAATTGGGGGGAGTCACCCAAAAGGGGCCAGTCACTGCTGGGTTTGGGCTGGGTATCAATCAGCGGGTGGTGAGAGAATGTGCTGTACATCACCTGTTTATTCCTTCCTCTATTTCCTATTATCACATTTTACTTTTATTTCAATTATTTAAACTGTTCTTATCTATACCATGAGTTTTTACTCCCCTGCCCCTCAATTTAAACTACAATAACCACGACAGTTTACATTTGGCAAGAATGTTTTAAAAGCATGAGTCAAGCACAAATTAATACAGTAACAGTTGCCCAGAACTACACAAAACCTTTTATATTGAGCTCCTCTATTTATCTGAAATAATAAAACCCATAGAAATATAAAAGCCAGCTTTCTTCCAAGCTCTTACTGTACCAACAGAATCCCAAGTTGTGTAGCAGAATCATTTAACTTACTATTAACTCATCGCCAACATCTGCTTGCTTTTCAGTGTTCCATGTGGAACATGCTAGACTGCAACCAAGTTTACTGGCAGGGAATTATGAAAAATGCCCTGCCAACACAGTAATGGAATCAGAGACATCACCAAGTAGATGATGGGCAGACTAACTTTCGAGTTTCCTTAGTGCCCTCACGGTCAAGGAAGGGTGCTGATCGTGAGGTTTTTGAAAAGGGTTACCCAGACAGTATGCAGATAAGAAAAATTATGGTACTGAAATACTTCTAACACTGAGCCAAATCTACTGGTTTAGGTAAGAATAGTTCTAGGTAAGGATAAGAACACAGAATATTCCAAGACTAAACAACACTTAAAAGTGTTCCTGCACAGCTTCTTTACAATTTTCTATGGAAGCATTAAAAATCTTAATCATATACACCCCTCTGCCTCTATTCAGCAGGTACTACTTCTGCACTAGTCAAGTCTTTCTCCAAAATCCCACAGTCTCAGGTTTAATTTTTAAACCAATCAGTAAGTCAAATTCTACTTTCAAATACAGAACTACATCCATAGGTTGCCATGGTTGATGCAGCAACCCCTCTGCAGCAATGCAGATCATAAACCCCAAAACAGATCACATAGAATCAGACACAAAGTACTTTTGATTCCGATTATGTCTATGGAATAAGGTTCCAGAATACCTAGACTAAGTAATTCTATAAAAGTCTTCCTT